GGTACTTTTCGATCCACCTGCTTCTTTTATCCGTAATCAGAAACTGAACTTCCCCATCATATTTTCGAGAAGTAATATACAGAGGAATGACCATGTCAGTGAATTCATGGAAATGGTTTCCCGCATATCCTCCCGTTGAAAATAAGACGGCTGGAACACTATGATTTCTTGTGCATTGAAGGATTTCCTGCTGAGCCTCAGACACTCGTTTCACTGACCACTCTCGAACATGATTCAGCGCCTGTTTATCTTCTTTTCGGGCATAAGGCCTTATAGTCCAGGAGCTATTCCCTGCCGACATGTCCGCTTGAGATGAAACAAGGAAAACAGAAGACAAATTACCATCAACACGAACATCCATGTTGATCTCACAAACATCAGTTCTTGGCTGCGAAACATCACAAATCGGCTCCAAATTCTTCGTCACTTCTGAAACTGCAAGATGAATTTAAATTGTCTAAGCTGAATTTTCTTGGATCATCAACCTAATTAACTTCAATCCCCTTCGACAGTTAGTGCAAAATAATCGTGTCATGTTCTTACTGTTTGCCTCTGATTCTGAACCATTTCGAGCAAGGAGAATAGTGGGAGTGCTTGCATTTTTCCGTTCACCAGAATCCTCTCCTCGAAGACTTGTATTTTTGAACTCCTCCGCTCTTATCTTCTGATCGAACTGCTCACCTTCAATTACTTTCTGAGAGCTGTTTTTTCGTTGGACTTGCAGCACGTCCCAACCAAGACCCACTGACATCTGCAATTTCACTGCGAGTAAACGAAAGTTGCACACCAAACATATCATGTTAGTGCGGTCACATTCCAACTTTCTTGCAACACAAGGTAGAAAGAGTAGGCTAATTTACATACAAGCTGATAGATTCAAACTAGGTTTGAGAACTGCACTAAAATATACTGCTATAAGCAAGAGTGTCACAAATGCTCCACATCGGAACCTCTTCTGCTGAAGGCGAAAAACGTTTCTGGCAAGTATCGAATCGGGCTTCATATTTCGCTCAACTTTGATATAAGCATACCTTAAACTTTGATGAAAAAGATAATCTGATGTAGAAGGAGATCGAAGCTCAAATACGAAGAGGGACGCTAAATTACAACGTTATGGTCAATTCAAATACAAGCAGTTTTGTGGGAAACCCGATTATATAGGCATGTTCATGAAAGCTAACTAATCCAAGCTAAAATGGGAGATAAGTAAATTCAGATAACAGCATATCTAAAATCCCTTGTATAATAGAAACGAATCGAGACACAGTAAATATGGAAAGCATCCAAACATAGCAGTCATTGAATGCTCATATCTCAAACCGGAAACAACGAATCAACTTAAAAAATCTCGAGATAGTCGTAGTAATTAAATGAAAAATCTTGCAGGATCTCCACCATCCCCCCTTGGAAGAAAAACTCGACTTGGGCAAGTTAAAATTTCAAGTGAACGAAAAGAGTGATACAATTAGTGTAGTCCCCGTAAGATTTTTATCAAGGCCCATTTATGCACCAATGTTCTCTCTTTTATACGTAGTCTTCTCGTCTTAATGAATATTGTACTCTTTTCAGAAAGAAAAAAAAAAATTCAATGTAGTTTGCATCTGTTTTTCCTGTGGCTGGTTTGTAATTAACTTTCTCAGTTTTCTGCATATGGAAAATACTAGCGGCGCAAGAACATATCCAAAACTGAGGCCATCACCAACCGAAGGAGGGCTCCTTTTAGCCCTATAGCCCTCCAAGAAATTAATATTTTAATGAACAGTGTCATGCCATATTTCTTACCATCTCCAATGAGGGGGCCAAAGAGCCATAGGCCAAACATAATTTATTATTTAAATTTAAGGACTACAACAACTTAAATTTAAAAACTAAAACAATTTAAATTTAAAGTTTATAATCATCATCATCCGCCATTGTAGGATTATAGTCAGATGCAAACAACTCCCGTCGGGCCATAATTTCCCTCAATTTCTTATCAAAATAGGCCTTACTCATTTGAGTGTAATCCGAAGTGTTCCTTTGCATGTTTCTATAATCCATCTCTTCTTGAATTTGTTTTGCCCGTTCTTCATGCCTACGGTTCATTTCTTCCGTGGCAAAGGCATTTTGCTCCGTCATTAATCGTAATGAGGACGCCATTTCTTGTTGAAAGGCGTAATCATCCTTTGCCTTGCCTTTTTCCTTCAATTTTTGGGCCTTGTTTCGTCCCACAGCTCTAGGTATGGAACCTTCACCCGAAGATGGATTTTCTACCCTTGTTTCTTGAATGGTAGGAGATCCATGTTCATCCCCAACTGCATTTGAGGATGCATTTCCGAACACCAGTGTAGGAGCAACTCTTTCTTGAGGTGGATCTTCAAATAACACTCACCCTTTACAAATTTCCCAACAACCATGATGATTAAAGGGTTTTGAGTTGTCCTCCATATACAATTCCTCCGCTTGGCATACCTAGAAAATATAATTACAAAAATTAAAGGAAATTAATTTATGAAATTAAATGTAATATAATTAAATATTTAAAATAACTTGTGAAAACACCAATTTTGTCGTAGTAATTGGTTCCGTTTTCATGTCTGATTTCGCCCTTTAACACTGCTTGATGCCATTTATTCAAACTTGGATGAAGATGTTTTTTCCATCTTGAAGAACAACTCTTGTGATTTCGTGAATTCGGTGGATTGGTGCCTTCGTAGAACTCACAATACTTTTTGGACATACGAGTCCAAACACTTTCACTTGTTTGAGAACTCCCCTCACACTATCTTCGGAGACCCATCTATAAGCCCTGCAAAGAGTTTCATCTTCTTTTCAGGTCTAAGCCCTACCTTTCAATTCAGATCTAGCCATTTGAAAATTATTGAAAAAATTGAAGCAAAGATTATTGGAAAAGGTGAGAAATGATGTAGGAGAGAAATGGTGTAAGATACTATGGAATGGTGAAAATAACGTGAGAAATGGTGTAGGAATGGTTTAGGTATTTATAGGGAAAAAAAAAAGGAATTTTTTAATTTTGTCCGGAAAAAAAAAAAAAAAAAAATTCAAATCCAACAAGTACCTGGTGTCAGCATGACGTTGGTTTTGAAAGGTTGGGCCAGCCGGTTGGCTTGATTTGGTATTTTTGGCCTGGTGGGGCCCACAAGCCCTTTGGCCTAGCCCTCGGTTGGAGACGGTTTTCGTGTCATTTCAAGCTATTTTCGGCCCTATGACCCTCTAGCCGCATCGGTTGGAGATGGCATGAGTTATGTCGTTCAAAACATCTTTGAAATGTCCTTCACCATTTTTAAGAGGCTTGAGGTGCGGCAAATGTTCTACAAAAATAGCTCCATTGCTCACTTTTGTTCTGTATAAATTTTGCTAAACTGATTAAAACAATGAGTTACTGCTTCTAGTTTTAATGAAAAATGTGATTTTAAAGTTTTTACAAGATCTTTTTACGAGATTTTTAAGTCTTACCATTTGTTGATTAACAAAACTAGTTTTATTGAATTTTAAGCTTAAACACACAAAAAAAAGTTAAAAAAAAAAAAACCAATAAAAACACAAGCATGGCTGAAATATGGAGTTCCGTGATATCCATGGTGGGGCGAAAGTTCCATTAAAATACCTCGACTTTTTTAAAACATGTCCGAGGTAAATATCAATGATTCGAAGCAATTTTATATTTTATACACTATTTCGAAAATCCAAGGACTCAACAGGTTTTATAAAAAAAATTTCCAAAATCAATTAAAAAACAATTAGTTTGCTCACACGGTAAGAAATATATTACAAGTCATTTAAAGCCGGATTCCCATTTTATTGTGTTAAAAAGGATTTTATTTCATTTTTAAACTTTAAAAGGAATGAAGTTTTAACGAAACACTCTGAGTATTGTTCACTTTTAACGAAAAATCATATTTTTACCTTTCCCTAATACTATTCACTATACATTTATTTGTCATTTTTTATTAAAACTATTTTGTTTTTTTTTTTACTTTTCATTAATTTTCCTTAAAACAAAATATAATCAATAAAAATACTAGTTCGGCGTTCATTTGAAACGGTCCTAAAAAATTTTAAAAAAATTATGATGCAACAAAATTTATACAAAAAATGTGACATCCCACATCGCCCAGGGGAGTGATCCTTATATGTATATTCCCATCCCTACCTAGCACGAGGCCTTTTGGGAGCTCACTGGCTTCGGGTTCCGTAGGAACTCCGAAGTTAAGCGAGAAGGGGGCTAGAGCAATCCCATGATGGGTGACCCTCTGGGAAGTTGCTCGTGAGTTCCCAAAAACAAAACCGTGAGGGAATGGTAAGCCCAAAGCGGACAATATCGTGCTACGGTGGTGGAGCGGGCCCAGGAAGTGGTCCCACCCGGGCCGGGATGTGACATTGGTATCAGAGCCTAACCCTGGCCGTGTTGTGCCGACGAGGACGTCGGGCCCCTAAGGGGGGTGGATTGTGACATCCCACATCGCTCAGGGGAGTGATCCTTATATGTATATTCTCATCTCTACCTAGCACGAGGCCTTTTGGGAGCTCACTGGCTTCGGGTTCCGTAGGAACTCCGAAGTTAAGCGAGAAGGGGGCTAGAGCAATCCCATGATGGGTGACCCTCTGGGAAGTTGCTCGTGAGTTCCTAAAAACAAAACCGTGAGGGAATGGTAAGCCCAAAGCAGACAATATCGTGCTACGGTAGTGGAGCGGGCCCGGGAAGTGGTCCCACCCGGACCGGGATGTGACAAAAAAGGGTCTTATGATGACGTTTGTACTTGTAGTAGTCCACAAAACTGATTAAAACAATTTTTGTTGCATAAGCAAAAAGAGGATAAATAATAACCATGCTATCTATGTCGTGCTTCAGATTAGAAAACTGACTGAAAATAAATTTGAAATAAAACAAAATCAAATGAAGAAAAATAAATAAATAAATAAAGACTAGAAGGACGTTCGGAATATCCTACCGAATGACTACGGAACAATAGCAAATTTTCACCGACGCTTACAAAAGCTTCGCAAATCTTTCCCGAATTTCCAATATTTCTGAACAAATAATTACAAGAGCAGATTATGAATCAATGAAATCGAATTCTTTGATACGAAAAGTACACGAAACGAAAACAAAACGAAATAAATATTCAAGAGGACCTTGTTTCCTCCAGAAATCAAACAATGACGTCTCTCTACTGATGCAGAAGCTCAAGAGCTTTTAACAATGTAGGTCTAAATCTTTGGACATTAAGATGTACGTTTTGTTTTTGCAGATAGAGTGAATAGAACGCTAGCCAACCCTGTTTTCCGATCGATGAAGGATCGGTGAAAACCGGGTGATCAAGCGGGTACTGCTGTGTCAACGTGCTCTCCTCGTTGCTTATTTCATACTCCAAATACTTGAGATTCATACCCTCCGAAGGCTTGCCGAAGTAGTTGGTTGCGAGCCATTGAAACCGTCCGACTGGAAGTATTTGAATCAAAATTGCATTTTCTGGAAGGAAGACAAGGTTTGTGAGGCCAGCTCCATGAACTCCCACTAACACATCACAAGAGTTGACAACTTCTGCAAATTTAGACAAGTTCATGTCAGCTTCTGCGACGATTACCTTGAACCCCAAGCGTCTAGCCATTTTCGTAATTTCCCCTGTGTTCGTGAAAGACCTTGTTCTCTTTCTCGGGATGATCAGAAGCCGGGGCCTTTTTCGCTGACGATTTTCTCTGATTCTGATTGCACTGGCTCTTTTCAATGAGTAACGGTTTCTTAGAAACTCTCTGAAGTCTTTCATGGAATATGAATGCTTTGAAGGATCAATGCTCAGCTCCTTTTCGTGTCGTTTAAGGCCAACGGTTACGCTTGGGAAGCAATGCACTGCCTCTTCTTTGTCAATGTCGATAATCTCGTACTTGGACAGTCCTTTTAGTACTGCTTGGTACTTCGCAATCCACCATGGTTTCATATCCGAAACAAGAAATTGAACTTCTCCATCATATTTTCGAGAAGTAATAAACAGTGGAATCACCACATCAGTGAACTCATGGAAATGGTTTCCTACGTATCCTCCAGTAGAAAACAAGATGGCTGGAACGCTATGATCTCGAGTACACTGAGGGATTTTGAGCTGAGCACCAGTTTGTACTGGTTTCACTGACCATGCTCGAGTATTGCCCAACGCAGTTTTGTCCTCTTTTCGAGCATAAGGTCTTATAGTCCAGGACCTGTTCCAAATTTGAGAAGATGAAGCAACAAAAACTGAGGAAGAGCTCGCATCTACGCGAACATCCCTGTTATTGATCTCGCAGTATTCAGTTCTTGGTTCCTCAGTCTTGCAAAGTGGCTCCAAATTCTCCTCTACAACTTCCACAACTGCAAAAATGTTCGCGTTAGTTAATGGTTTCTTTTTGTTTGTACCAGCTGTATTGGAGGAAGGGTGCTTACTCTTAGTCTCCTCATCAACCGGCACGCTGCTTTCAATGGGACTAGTGAGAGTGCTTGCATTTTGCTGCAAATCAGCAGAATCTGCTAACACTTGATCACTCAAATTTTCGAACTCCTCGGTTTTTATCACTGGAAATTCTAGCACATTTTTTATTGCTTGCTGAGTGCTGTTTGTTTCCCAGAGTGCCCATATCTTTTGTTTGACACCAATTGATCTCTCCAACTTCACTGTGACATGATCCAGAAAATTAAATTACAAACTAATATATGTCACCTAAAAATAAAGTTAACAATGCTGAAAAATATAAAAAATGCATGAATGTACATACAAGCTGGTAGAGGATTCAAATTAGGTTTCAGCAGAGTGCAGAAGCACAGTGCTATGAGCAAGCAGCAAACGAATGCTCCATATCTCAATTTCTTCTGCTCGTGCTTACTAAAGCTTCGGGCTAGTATCGAATCATACATCACCGCCATTCGCTTTTCGATCAATGTAATGCTACACTCTATGTACTCGAAATGCGAAATGGCATTTCCCACACAAGACGGAGAAGACTTAGTAGTGTTACTTGTGATAAGAGGTTGAGTGAATTGTGAAGCAAAAGACTTACTTGGTTGCCATTTTGTATAGCAATTTAAGGAGGTTGAGGTGCAATTTTCTATGACTTGTTGCACCCCACGATTTTGTTCTCTCTCTCTCTAAGTCTATGAGATTCTCCAAATTTTAAAAAAAAACTAGGTATGAAAAGGACATCTTGGTTGACTGTACTCGAAACAAAATCCTTTTTTCTTTTGGCATAATATTTTTTATGAGCTAGAGTTTCATATTTCTTGTTTATATTTGTAATGCCATAATCCGCCGGCCCTGGATTCGAGCTTCAATTGAAAGCTATCAACCAACTACGACTGTAGAAATTAGGATATTGCGGTTAGGTTGCATAATTACATGTGTGTCACTACTATTAGCCCTAAGTCCAACTGCAAGTGCAATTGCAAAGATGAAAGCGACCCCATCAAAATGACTTTTATCCTGCATTTGAAAGAAGAAAATAAACTTATAAGTTTGAGATAAATTGTAACTTTGAAATTGGTTTACTTTAACTCCTTTATTTAGATTTATAAATGAAAAAGATTAAAAATTTCACGCTAAATAAGATAGAGGACGGATCTGTGGCATTATTTTTTTACACAACTTTTGACATATTTGTGGAGCCCACTTCGTAATGTATTTCAACGATGCAAATCTTTTATCTTTTAGGTATTCTCTCAAAGATCATGTCTATAAAAAAACTATACAAATCTGAAACCATATGACTGTTTCATTAATGGTTCAAGGATTCTTTGTAGAACCGTATTTGTTTATTTTCTTCACTACTTATGGTAAGGATGATCTATGAATGATGTCATAAAAGATAGATAGTTCAGATCGTTGAAGTACATTACGGAGTTAGCCCCGCAAAAACGTGTGTCAAAAATTGTGTAAAAATAGTGGTGTCATGAATCCAACCCCAATAAGATATAGGGTTTGGTGAAGTGAACCTAGTATATAGAATATTAATCAATATCACAAAAAATGCAATGAACATAAGGATCCCTTAACATAATCATTTAGGCAACAACTCACCTTAGTGTTTTTTTTTCCCTTTTATAAGCATAATTACATTTTAAACTATTCTAATTAACGAGTAATTCAAACTCAAGCGCAAAATGGCAGACATATTGTCATGATAGTACTAGTGTTACCCTACCAACAATGCACATGAGAAAATTCAATCAACATTGTATGCGGATTGTTTGCTTATAAGTTATGACCAAGTTACTCACTAATTTTCAATCTAATGATACTTTTCTTGAATTCCTTCCAATATCCAAGTTTGAATCCCTATTTTCCGTTCGTAAGAAATCAAATAAAAACTAAACTAAGTTTAAGAAGATTGTCAATGGATCACCAATATCATTAAGTGCTAATAACTACATCATCATAGTGTAAACCTCTTGTCGGTGAGGAGTTCAAAAGTCTTGACCGCGGGAAATGCTGAGGCATCCATAAAACCAGTAAGGGAGATTAGAGAAGGACATCTTAACTACACATTTTGTCTCTCTATTTGGGTGGGCAGCATGATGAGGTTTCGAGTTAGAGGACTTAGTATTTTTAAATTGGTTTTCTCTCAAGAAAATACGTGTGTGACATAAAATAATATATGCTTTTTCTGGGCATGTTTCATATATATTTTCAGAAAGTAATAGGAGTTGTTAACGGATTGTTATCAACACAATTATGCAACCACTCTCTGAGACTGCGGGCCTCAAGTTCTAAAGGATTAGACATTTTCAAATTTAACATAATATTAGTGGGTATAATTATATATTAGTCGTATTGAGCATGCGTGTTGATAAGCTTTGTACACACTTGAAAAAAAGCGAGCACCCAACAACCATTTGACCCTTCTGGCCCAAGTCAATATTAGGTAACACGTATACAGCACAAGGGTAATTAGGGTATTTTGCTATCCCTTGCAACGTGTACAAGTAGATGTAGTTCTGGCCGTTGATGAGCTTCATACCTCGGTGTAATTTTTCTATGATACCACAAACGAAATTAAAGTTATGCTTCAAAACCAATTGATAATGAAGGTGTAGTTCAATTTCGTACATATTCATGTAAGATTCGTTAGCTATTTTTCACAAGATAGATTTATCTCGTATGTCTAATAAGTTTAATGCTACGATCTTAGGATAATTGTAAGAATTTAATGTGTCAAGTTGTATATATAACGAGCAATGCTACCATCTTAAGTGATATTTTAAGTGGACCGCCACTTCATATAAAATGTTATGAATTTTTATTCAATTAAAAAGAATTAAAAAGAAGGAAAAAAGGAAAAGAAGAAACCCTAAAACCTAACAATGTTAACGTACGTGAAACCAACTTTGCTTGTGTTTTTGCCGTCGTCTCCTACTCCCTTGTCCCTCCTCTGCTTCCGTCGCCTACTCTTTCATAAGCAACAACAGAAACTATATACGGTTTCATGAAATGTTTCCAAATGTATAACAACCGTAGCAATAACAAGAACTAGGGAAATTCATACTATTACTTCCATCATGCATATGCATATACGTGTGGCAGGTAGGACATTTGCAGGCCAAAGAGGAGGCGGAGATGTCTGTCTCGCTAAAATTATAATGAAAGAAAGCAACGTACACGTTCTTAAACTATGTGCACTTGGTAAATAAAGTACATTCTTTTCGATAACGATAGAAGTATGCTCCGATACATTGTCTTTCTTTCAGCATAGCATATGTGTTATTAACAGTTGACAAGAGTATGAATTCCACATTGAATAAAAGGAAACTTTGAATGCGGTCCTTAGTTATGAATATTCTTTGATTGAAACTTTGTAGGTTTTTAATTTTTTATCGAGGTCCCTAAAATTAATATGATAATTTATTTCTATGTATGTTACTATATTTTTTTAATTAAAAATTAGAAATTTTAGTTGTTTATGTAAATGAGATTTTAAATAAATAAAAAACCATAATTTGTGGGATTACAAATATTAAAATATAAATATACTATTGTGTGTGTGTGTGTGTATAAACATGGGTACATTCTTCAAAATCACAAAAAAAAAAAAAAAAAAAAGATATTAGGCTTAATAACATTAGTAAATTTCTTCAATTAAACTTGACATGAATACATTTTCAAATCAAAGAAAAAAGAATGTACCCATATAAGTTTAAAAATGAATTAGATTATATATATAAAAGGGTACATTTTACATATAACAAATTGGTATATTTAAGAATGAGTACATTTTAAGATTAAAAAGTTTTACATGAATGTGTACATATAATTAGCATGGGTACTGTCACATCCCGGCCCGGGGCGGACCACTTCCCGGGCCCGACTCCACCACCGTAGCACGATATTGTCCGCTTTAGGCTTACCATTCCCTCACGGTTTTGTTTTTGGGAACTCACGAGCAACTTCCCAGTGGGTCACCCATCATGGGATTGCTCTAGCCCCCTTCTCGCTTAACTTTGGAGTTCCTACGGAACCCGAAGCCAGTGAGCTCCCAAAAGGCCTCGTGCTAGGTAGAGATGGGAATATACATATAAGGATCACTCCCCTGGGCGATGTGGGATGTCACAATCCACCCCCCTTAGGGGTCCGACGTCGTCGTCGGCACACATGCGACCAGGGTTAGACTCTGATACCAAATGTCACATTCCGCCCCGGGCCGGGATGTGACAGGTACATTTAACAAAATAAGAAGTACAAATAAAAAAAATATATATGGGTACAAATACAAATAAACTTTAAAAAATATGGGCACAAAAAGAAATTAATATATGGGTACAAATTAAAACGTAAAAGAAAATTGGTACAAGTTAAAAAAGAATTACAAATTAAAAATGGGTACAAACTAAAACTAAAAATATATGATAAAAAATTTAGTCATAAATATAAATATACTAATTGTACATTTTTAACATTAAATGAATATATTTAGAAATAAAAAAAATATTTTATTATTAAAATAATTAATGATGTTATTAATATCCAAGGACTTTAATCAAAAATTGAAAATGAATAGGATTTTAATGAATTGAGTAGCAAAAAAAGGAAGGATGAGAACCTAATTTCTCTTTGAATAAAAAATAGAACCTTGTACCTATAAGTAAGTAAGCTATTTTTCATGTTAGCAATTGATTTTATGGTGAAATCTCAACTTCTTCATAGTATGAAAGCAGGTTGTTCCATGTGTGAAGTCCGAAGGCCACACATGCTCTACATCACCCGATTCCTATTGTTCACATGCATGTTAAACTTGAAATTTTGTAACACATGAGGGGACGTGTTGAAAGCAAATCTAACGACAGGGACATTGCATCTACTTATAAGTAAGTGAAATACTCCTTATATTACTAATTGATTTTATGATGGAACCTTAACTTTTTCACCATTATGCATACGAACAACTGGCTAGAAAAATCCTCAATAAAACCATATTTACAGTACGTGATAACCATAGAGTGATCACTCTTCCAGCAACCAAACGTGTCTGCTCCTATTCTATTTTTGTTAATAAGCATGATTAGTATTATTAATCAGTGATGTCTGCTCACGAGTCTATTGTTTGGTATTGGTCAAAGTCACTTCCGAGCAATTTCATTAAGCTTCCACAACCTTTAGCATTCAAGCTTATTATGCTACTGTAGTAGGAAAATTGATGCCTATAATTAAGAATAATATAATTATATATTGCACCGTATTATTCGATAATGACAATTGGCAAGGGGCCTTGTCATATCCCGATCCGGGCCGGATCACTTCCCGGACCTGCTCCACCACCGTAGCACGATATTGTCCGCTTTGGGCTTACCATTCCCTCATGGTTTTGTTTTTGGGAACTCACGAGCAATTTCCCAGTGGGTCACCCATCATGGGATTGCTCTAGCCCCCTTCTCGCTTAACTTCGGAGTTCCGATAGAACCCGAAGCCAGTGAGCTCCCAAAAGGCCTCGTGCTAGGTAGAGATGGGAATATACATATAAGGATCACTCCCCTGGGCAATGTGAGATGTCACAATCCACCCCCCTTAGGGGCCCGACGTCCTTGTCGGCACACTCGCGACCAGGGTTAGGCTCTGATACCAAATTGTCATATCCTGACCCGGGGCGGATCACTTCCCGGCCCTGGTCCACCACCGGCCGTAGCACGATATTGTCCGCTTTGGGCTTACCATTCCCTCACGGTTTTGTTTTTGGGAACTCACGAGCAACTTCCCAGTGGGTCACCCATCATGGGATTGCTCTAGCCCCCTTCTCGCTTAACTTCGGAGTTCCAATAGAACCCGAAGCCAGTGAGCTCCCAAAAGGTCTCGTGCTAGGTAGAGATGGGAATATGTATATATAAGGATCACTCCCCTGGACAATGTGGGATGTCACATGCCTAATGATAGTATTATGGCTAATTAAATAGAAACAGCTGCCTTATTGCCATTGACAAGTTGGGCTAATCTTCGCCCTTAATTATCATGTCATTTTATTACCTAAGACAATATTTATCAAAACAGTAACGATAGGAGGAAGTGAAATCCAAACACTCTATTTTTTATCTTTAGATTAAATAAAGGAAAATTAGGTTCTCATCCCTATTTTTCCTACTCCATTGATTAAAATCTTATTCATTTTCAAATTTTTATCAAGGTCCTTATATTTTAATAAACGTCATTAATTATTTTAATAATAAAATATTTTTATTTCTAAATATATTCATTTAGTATTAGAAACGTTATATTTGTTATATTTATATTCACGGCTAAATTTTTTATCATATATTTTTACTTTTAGTTTGTACCCATTTTTAATTTGCAACTTTTTCTTTTTTTTAATTTGTACTAATTTTCTTTTCAGTTTTAATTTGTACCCATATATTAATTCCTTTTTGTGCCCATATTTTTTAAACTCTTATTTGTATTTGTACCCTTTTTTTTTTAATTATTTGTACCCATTTTTAATTTTGCTAAATGTACCCATGCTAATTATATGTATTTAATTTATGTTTTAAATTATATCAATAGTTATTTTTTAAAATATGTTAATAATTATGTGGGTACATTATTTTTTTGCTATAATTTTTGTGAAGAACAATATTACTCTAAAATTTATTTTTAAGTATTTATTATATTTAAAAATATTATTTGAATTTGTTTAAATGAGGCTAAGGACCTCGATCAAAATATTTAAACAAATAAGGTTTCAGTCTAACAATTAGGTTGATTAGGAACTGAAACCAAAATGATCCTTAAATAAATTATAGACACAAAAATAAACATGGTTTTGCAAAAACAGAATAAGTATGCAGAAATCATTTTTTATGTGCATGATTGTATCATCCTGACCCAAAAAATTAAATTAAAGAATCGGTGGGAGTTCGATTACGACTTGAACAATGAAATATGGTAAGGCCTCTTTCCGTATGGCAAGTATCTGGTGCATTTCTCATAGACGGTCGTTGTGAACATTGACTTCAATTGTGTACTGCAAAAAAAACGTTATTTAGTTCAATTTGTCTTTGTTCAAATAGTATTGGATTAATTGATTAACAACATTTGTATGGCCACCTACCTCTAGTAGATCTGAGAAATTCTTGCACTACCTGATAATCTAACATGAAACGACACGACAATAATAGATTTCAGGTTAATTCGTTAACGAATCAGATGTCGTTATTGGATCACCCGTTAAGAACCCATCAAACGAATCAGGTCAACTGTTAAGGTAACAGTATGACACATAAATGACACGAACACAAACCGTTTGCCAAGTCTAGACATTAGGCATGATAATTTCTTGCTAATTTATTAACCTGATACGAAACAACACGACAAGGTAATGAGTTGGATGATTATTGGATCACCTGTTAAAAATTCATTAAGATAATGAATTTGACACAACACAATTTGTTAAGGTAACAAGTATGACACAATACGACAATCATGGCCCGTTTACCAAGTCTAATTTCTAGCAAGAGAAATATAAGCAATGGCTTAAGTTTGTTTCAAATAATATTGCATTAATTAATTAATGAAACAAAATTGTTACTAATTAAGTTTAAGGGCTAATCAATCATAATCTATGTCATGCTCATCTAAGTACCTAATAAACAAAAATTAAGAGTTTGTAAGCGTCAAATTCACCTTAGTTACATGATTATACTAATTGAGATTAATCTGCTAAATATACTTGACAATTTAAAAGGCCGAATCCGCTCAAAATCCATGATCGCATTCCGATTGTGACTTGATGTTATTGTAACACCTAAGAGGTTACATTTGGGCTACATACACCCATATGCTTGATTCGGATTGTTAATGTTGGTCAATTTTTTTTTGGGATTTTAATAAAATTGGTCTTTGAGAATGACATAAATTCTCATCTTGATATATGAAATTTGAAATTGATAGAAGTGATCCCTAAGTTTATCCACCGTCAACCATTTTGGTCATTCCGTGAAAAATCTATGTTGAATAAGGACCAAAATGACAAAATGCCCTCAAATTTAATAAACAATACTCCAAAATGTTTTGAAAAAATTAAGGGTATCTTTGTCATTTTGATCCTTATTTAATAGAGACTTTCCACGAAATGACCAAAAAAAGTGAACAAACTCGGAAACCACTTTTATAGATTTTAAATCTCAAAAACCAAAATAATGAGTTATGTGAAAAGTCATCTCAGTGACCACTTCTATCAATTTTTATCTAAATTGAATTTTATTCCAAATTCTTGTAAACTTTTGGTAGTTGGGCTTCTTTGTTTCTTGAGACCATCAACGTTTAGTACCCAAGGCCATTTTTATGGGCCAAGCAGAACAAAAATGTATGGTTTAGGACACTGGTATGAGTTAAACTAAGTCCAACCATTAAATCTCAAGTGACAACCCAACAATCAGCCTTGTGAAAGAACACAACTAGCCCATACCATTTACATTTGGGCAAATGAAGCTGGACATTTGATGTGTCTTAGGCCTCTATAACTCGATTTCACTTCAAGGAGGGGATGTTAGGAGGAGTTCTTGTGTGCGTCGGTCGTATAGGGTACCATACTCCAAGGTGTCATCGTGTGATTGGGAAAACTCAAATGCATGGAGTTCCTATCTATGAAATGGTCGGACATGTGACGTGAAATGATCTAGAATTCAAATCTGGGAATTGAATTCTCAAAATGTCAAGTGTAGGGTGGAAAGCCATAAAGATAAACTAGTTGCAAATTCCAATTTGGCACAAGTGGTTTGTCTTTTCTGTGGTGGTGTCAAGTCAGCCATGTGGATATACAGTACTTGCGTGCATCTGACATGCAAAGAATCAAACCGCCGATTGTGTTTGAAATATATTCGATCAACTTTGCTGAGAATATTTTGAGATGTACATAATGAATTAGACAGTTGGAAAAAACAAAATATGTAGATGTAAATTAGGTTTTTTTTTTTTTTTTTTTTTTTTTAATTTTTTATTTTTTTGACCATGTCTTGGGTCTTCTAGGTGGTGTTTACGTTTTGGTGCGGACGAGATCGATATAAAAGAATCTTTGTGTAATGGACAGTGACAAATTCAGACACACAAATTGTTTTGTATATGATTTTGTCCGGACTCTGATAATCCAATTGAAGATATTGAACCGAAGATGTCGTAGTAATTTTGACTACTACTGCCAAATAGATTTATCAGATGTGATATGAGAATTATACTATTTTATTTGATGAATAACATATCTTGATTATAAAAAATTTATAATCGTAATTATTCAAATTTTTAATCTTCATTTTAAAATTATCATTGCAAAAGCTATTTCAATTGAAAATTATTTAGTCATTAAATATATAGAATAAATTGACGGTCTAGATACAAGTAACGTATTCATGATTAACTGTCTATTTATTTGATACGCTTGGATTATTAAACGATTTCCAATTTGAAAGATTTTTTTATAAGATTGATCTCTAAATAAAGATTAATAAACTGAATAATTATGATCGTTGATTTTATTTAGTCAAGATATATTATTTACAAACGAAAAAAAATGTGTATCTTCCACATTGTGGGATCCAATTATCAACTTTTTTGTATTGTTAACATTATATTGCATTCATTTGTGGAAAAAAAGACAGTATATTCCATTCATATTATGAAAAAGAAGACTCGATTAAAAGAAGACAATTATAGTCTAGTGGGGAGGAGCCTTTTGCATTGCTCTTCGTCTTGTTGAAATAATTGCCATACGAATGATAGCCGCCGAATGTTGTCGTTTTGTTTTCACGTCAATTATTATTTTTATCCTAATTACAAATCCACCCCTTTACTATCATGATTTCTTATTTTATCACAAGATCTTTTTTGTTTATATCAATTTACTCACTGCAATCACCAAGCTAGGTCTTAACTCTTGAGGGAGAGTTACATAGTTTTTTTAGCACTACAGTTTAATAGTATTTCTCTTCATTTATAAATGAGAGATTTTAAGTTTGATTCTTAACAAATACGAATTTGAACTACTTTATTATTAGCTCATTATAAGATTCAGCACACTTTCTCATAATATCATTTGTTACAAAAATAAAAAATAAAAAAATAAAATAGCAGCATCACGCGCACCTTTTCATTGGGTTGATTATAAGAAGATTCAACTATTTTATAAAAAAGATGCTTTCTCGTTTCTTTTTTTTTTTTCGGATTATTTTTTGTGAATGTAATTAGACAACATATTTGTAGTTACAAGTGTTTTTGTTTATGATTGATATTTTTGGATTATAAACGAACATTTTATATAAATATATAGAAAGAAGAATCGTTTGAACTCAAAACTTCGACTGTAATCAACCAACTACGTGACGAACACCTTGCTATAATATGTAATGTACTAAAAACGAACAAAAAAACAAGATCCTCAACTCCTTTATAACATAATCCAAACTACCATCTGTCTTTCTTCCCCTCCGCCACTCACAATCTCTCTCTCTCTCTCTCTCTCTCTCTCTCTCTCTCTCAAGAAGCTAAGCAGAAAATGGAGAGAGAAGACGACAGACCATCTCTAAGCTCGCCATTGATTCAAGCTTGCGAAGAAGATGTAACTAAGGAGACTGGGAGAAATAACCATGGAATAAAGGGATTTAAGAGAGAGGAAATAGTTAAAGAAGTGAAGAAGCAGATATGGCTGGCAGGACCTCTTATTTGTGTGAGCTTATTGCAGTACTCTATACAGATAATAGCTGTTATGTTTGTAGGTCACCTTGGTGAATTATCTCTCTCCGGTGCTACCATGGCCCTTTCTTTCACTTCCGTCACCGGTTTCAGCTTGTTGGTACGTTTGCCTCCTCTACATCTATGATTATTGGTTCAGTATCGCTTAAGCGTTTACCAGATAGTAAGTTAATACTGCGCTAATCGGTAATCACTCTTTAGACCCACTTAACACAGTACTGTAATATGCATGATTATCCAATCCGCTCGTACTTTTTAGGTCATCACTGAAAGATTAACTCTAAAGAAGTTCACTCAAATGGAAAAGTGTTTAATTTTGTAGTTTATGTGACTTAAGAGTTTCATACTTTAGATACTAGGATACAATTGTGTTAAACTTACACCCCATTTAGCTTTATGGATGCTAGGGTTTGTGTTGAAGTTAGAACCCTCTTCCAAGTTGAAACAGTTGATCTTTCTATAAGTTTCTGATAATCTTTTCGGTTTTCGATTCAAACAGGTGGGAATGTCGAGCGCATTGGACACATTATCAGGCCAGTGCTATGGTGCAAAGCAGTACCGTCTGATGGGCATACACTTGCAGAGAGCAATGCTTGTTCTTTCACTTGTTTGCATACCTCTCGCCATCATTTCCGCAAACACAAAAACAATCCTAACAGCTCTAGGCCAAAATGCTGCCATTGCAGCAGAAGCTGGGGAATTTGCGCGCTTCACGATCCCTTCCCTTTTTGCATACGGACTCCTCCAGTGCCTCGTCAGATTCTTACAAACTCAAAACGTCGTGTTCCCGATGATGCTGAGCTCTGCGGTTACAGCTTTGCTTCACATCCCTCTCTGTTGGGTTCTTGTGTTTAAATCCGGTCTTGGTGGCAGGGGAGCTGCCCTGGCAATTTCAATCTCCTTTTGGATCAATGTGTTATTATTGGCGCTTTATGTCAAGTTCTCTTCATCATGTGCGAAAACTTGGACAGGCTTTTCGAAGGAGGCTTTTCACAACGTTACTACATTCATTAGGCTTGCTGTTCCTTCAGCTGTCATGGTTTGGTAAGTTTCTCGTATATATTTTTTCGACGTTTCACAATGTTCCTACATACGTTATTTTTGTTGAGAATATCACGTTTAAGAATGGGAAAACAAGAACAAACTCCGGAAATCAAAAAACAGATAACCAAGATAAATAACACCAAGAATTTACGTGGTTCAGCAATATGTGCCTACGTCTATGGGATAGCAACAACAATCTTTCACTATATCAATAATGAGTACAACCAATAATCTTGTCAAATCTCTAGAACCAGGAATTGACGAAAAACCTGAAAGAACAAGAACAAGAAATACACTATCTCTTTTCTTTTCTCTCACACACACTTTACAATAATCTCTCCCTCTAATCCCTAGGGTGGTATACAATTTATTGTTTTGCTCCGTCCAATTCAAAACTAGTACAATAGCTCCTTTATATAGACATAATAAAGGTCTTCTTCAATAAGGATTACTAATCCTAATTGGAATCTAGTTATGAATCCTTCTTCAATTGAGAAACTAACTCCAATTGGGAAAAGAACTCCAATTGGGAAAACAATTTAATCCTCTAAGACTATAATTCCTTATAGACTTAAGACAACTTATCATGGGCTAGAAAAAACCCAACAATCTCCCCCTCCAGACCATGAGGAAGGTAGAACATAATAGGATTGCTCCTCTTGACCAAACTCCCATTGATCGAACTTTTCATGACCAGACTCCCCTTGATCGAACTACCCATAACCAAGCTCCCCTTGATCGAACTACTCATTAACCAAGACCCTTTTGATTAGACTTCTCTTAACCAGGCTCCCCTGATCGCAATACCCATGACCAGACTCCATGTGATCGAAAATCTCATCTTCATTGGCAAAGGCAATTATAGACTTCTTTGCCAGAAAGCATCTTTTATCTTCATCTTGGTCCAATCAGCATCAGACATACTTGATGGCTTGCTCTTAACACCTGCAGTAAAGCATGTCCTCCTCTTGATTTCCACGTAACCCAATTAAAGCGGGTTGCACCCTCCATTCTAAACGAATATCAGCCAAACCAGGCTCTGATACCACTTGTTGAGAATATCACGTTTAAGAATGGGAAAAACAAGAACAAACTCCAGAAATCCAAAAACAAATAACCAAGATAAATAACACCAAGAATTTATGTGGTTCAGCACTATGTGTCTACGTCCACGGGATAGCAATAACAATTTTTCACTATATCAATAATGAGTACAATCAATAAACTTGCCAAATCTCTAGAACTAGGAATTGACGAAAAACCTGAAAGAACAAGAACAAGAAATACACTATCTCTTTTCTTTTCTCTCACACACACTTTACAATATTCTCTCACTCTAATCCCTAGAGTGGTATACAATTTATTGTTTTGCTCCGTCCAATTCAAAATTAGTACAATAGCCCCTTTATATAGACGTAATAAAGGTATTCTTCAATAAGGATTACTAATCCTAATTGGAATCTAGTTATGAATCCTTCTCCAATTGAGAAACTAACTCCAATTGGGAAAACAACTCCAATTGGGAAAACGACTCCGATTGGGAAAACAATTTAATCCTCTAAGACTATAATTCCTTAGAGACTTTGGACAATTTATCATGGGCCGGAAAAAACCCAACAAGTGTACTACTAATATCTGTTTTGTGAGAGTCTAAGATCCTAATGCTGTTGGAAATGAAATTTAACAGCTTGGAAATGTGGTCGTTTGAAATGATTGTTCTTCTATCCGGTCTTCTTCCAAACCCGGAGTTGGAAACCTCAGTGCTTTCTATCAGGTTAGTTCCGAACTGTGATGATCATTCTTCCATAGTTTACGTGTTCTAGATTATCATATATCTTGCACTTTTAACGTTGTTACTTACCAAATACATCGATTTCCAGTTTGAATACAGCGGCAATGGTTTGGATGATCCCTTTCGGACTCAGTTCTGCCGTGAGGTGAGCTATGTTATGACACATCTAAACTATAAAGTCAATAAGCTCTTACAACTTAGCACTCGAAAGTTAAGACCAGCATTGAGATTAAACCGTGGCTTTACGTATCTGTTCTGTTTCTGTGACGTGCAGCACTCGTGTCTCCAATGAATTAGGAGCAGGGCGTCCAGAAACAGCGCGCTTAGCAGTGTGCGTTGTGTTAGTCATGGCCATTACCGAGGGTATATTGGTGGGATCGGTCCTGATACTGATACGCAACTTCTGGGGCTACGCTTATAGCAACGAAAGAGAAGTTATCGATTACCTTGCAACCATGATGCCTATACTTGCAACATCCAACTTTCTAGACGGCCTCCAGTGTGTTCTTTCGGGCACTGCTAGAGGATGTGGGTGGCAGAAGATTGGAGCATATGTGAATCTCGGGGCGTACTACTTGGTTGGAATTCCTTTGGCTATTTTGATGGCTTTCGTCCTTCATGTTGGTGGAAAGGTAAGGAGAACAAAAAAATGACGAAGCGAAAAGGGTTTTTCGGTTTTCTTCTTTTCCTTCCCTTCCATATAACTTTGTCTGTCAAACTGTTTTGAGTAGGGGCTCTGGCTGGGGATCATCTGTGCACTGATTGTGCAAGTCTTGTTGCTTCTTACCGTAACCATACGCACGAACTGGCAGAAGGAGGTTACATTCTTTCTCTATCAATCAATCAATCAATCTATCGATCGAAGCACAAATTATACTTTTCCTCTTCATCATGTTTTCTTATTACTGATATGTTGTTGGATTTGGTTAGGCAAATAAAGCTACAGAAAGAGTGTACGAGTCGACAGTTTGTGTGGACGTAGTCACATAGTGTCATGAAGCTGAACTATGACGGACAACAGATTCCACGTACACTAGGTGCATACGCGTAATGAATAAACCTCCGGAAAAATCTTGCCAGTGTCAATGGTGGTGCAACTCGATATGATTTACAATATGCAACTGATTAATAAACCTTTGTTGTTTATGAAGAAATTCAAGAATATATTCCTATCCTACAAGGAATTCATTTTTGCTAAAATGATTCAAAATATGCGTTTTCTTTTCGGTTTTCGCAAAAGAATAAACTAGGATGGAATTAGCAAAGAACAAGAATGAGGGTTCAGCACATGTCAATGTTGGAGGATGACTTACTTGTCCAAAAATCCTAGCATGCAAAAGTTGTTGAATAAGAAAAGTATCCAAGATAACTCTAATGATCCCAAGAAGAAGAAAATAGAACACACTCTTAAAGAAAGCTCACAAAACAAACTAATTAGCAAAGCTTTTCTTATTTAGCTCTAGACTTTGTTTTTCCTTGGATGATATACAATGCTTGAGGAATTGGGTATTTATAGCAAACCAAATGAAAGCTACACCACACACTTAATTAAACTAAGATTATTTACTACCACACAAAACCCATTAATTGCACCTAATTTTTTTCCACTCAACCATACCTAACATTGCCTAACTTTGCAATTGTAAGCAATTACATCATCAAACTAGATATGGACTTGGACTTTAGATTGGGTTGTGGATTACTTATGGTTTTGGGCTGACATTGATTCTCAACACTCCCCCTCAATGTCAGCTCTCATTCTTTGCACTGTGCTGAGCAGACAGCGAAAATTTTCGAGCTTGCCTGTACTTAAACTTTTTGTGAACAAGTCCGCAACTTGATCATTCGTCTTGACCTGTCTCATCTCAATCTCTTCTTGTAGAACCTTTTCTCTGATAAAGTGGTAGTGCACTTCCACATGTTTAGTTCTTGCATGAAAGACTGGATTTTCCGCCAAGCGAATGGCCGATTGGTTATCACAGTACAATGGTACTGGATAATCTACTGGTTGATGTAGATCACTCATCAACTGTACCAGCCATGCATTCTCTTGAGCTGCCATTGCTGCTGCTCTATACTCTGCTTCTGTGGTTGACAAAGATACCGTTGGCTGTCTCTTGCTACACCAAGAGATGGTTCCAGAACCAAGCTTAAACACATACCCAATTGTTGATCTCCTGGTGTCATGATCTCCCGCATAGTCAGCATCACAGTAACCAACTAACTTCCAATCTTCACCTTTCTTGTACAAAAGATCATAGTCAATTGTACTCTTCACATATCTCAGTATTCGTCGAACTGCTTCCAAATGAGGCTTCTTTGGATTTTGCATGTACCGACTCATCACACCAACTGCATAAGAAATGTCAGGTCGAGTCAAGGTTAAGTAGATCAGACTACCTACCAATTGTCGATAGATTGTCGCATCTTCTAAATCTTTTCCTTCATGTGCACACATTTTGGCGTTTGGTTCCATCGGTGTCAAAATTGGCTTGCATTTGAGCATTCCAAACTTCTTCAATAAATCTTTGGAATATTTTTGCTGACAGAGAAATATTCCTTCTTGTGTGCGATCAATCTCTAGACCAAGGAAGTGCTTGAGTTGGCCAAGTTCCTTCATATGGAAACGGATTGATAAATTCTCCTTCGTCCGAAGAATTTCTGCCTCATCATCACCGGTTATGATCAAGTCATCCACATACACTAGCACGATAGCTAGCTTTCCTTCATTGGCTTTGACAAACAAGCTGGAATCTGCAGGTGTTACTGAATAACCACTTTATGTTAGAAACTCTGCAATCTTACCGTACCACGCTCTTGGTGCTTGTTTCAATCCGTAAAGTGCTTTCCTTAACTTGCACACGTACTCAGGATGAGTTTCGCTTTTAAAGCCCATTAGCTGCATCATGTAGATCTCCCGATCTAACTCTCCATGTAAGAAAGCATTCTTCACATCCATTTGGTATAGATTCCAATCTTTGTTAGCTGCAAGTGCAAGTAGGACTCGTACTGTTGTAAGTTTTGCCACTGGATTAAACGTTTCATCATAGTCTAGTCCGTACTGTTGAGAAAAACCACGAGCTACTAGTCGTGCCTTGTACCTCTCGATTGACCCATCTGGACGACGCTTTATCTTGTAAACCCACTTACAGGATATGAGTTTGACATCTCTTGACTTTATTTTGCTCAAGTGCATCAACCTTTTCTTTCATAACTGTCATCCACTCAAAACTCTGTGATGCTTCTTCGAACATCTCAAGTTCTGTTGCTTCTTCAATTATGGCTGCATAGGCGTATTTGGGATTTGGTCTCCGTGCTCTTGTTGACTTTCGGAGTTGAGATTGTGGAGTTGATTTTTCCGGTACACTAGGCCCACCTTCTTCGTCTGGTTGTTGATACATGCCAGTTTGCCAAGGATTCTGAGTCACTCTCTGTTCGACATCATCGTCATTTGGATCTCCTGATTCATCTGAACTTGGTTGGAGTTGGATAGTATGCTCCCCCATCTTCTATTGCAGCTTTTCTCCAAATTCTCTAGAGTCTGGTAGCACCTCATTCTCTGATGACCACCAAGAAAACGCTTCATCAAACACCACATCTCGTGAAGTGTAGCACCTTCCACTTGTTGGATCACAACATTTCCATCCCTTTCTCTGGCTGTCGTATCCCACAAAGATACATCTAACAGCTTTCTTGTCAAATTTGCTTCGTAAATGATCAGGAACAAATACATAACATACACAGCCAAATACTCGAAAATAGCTAACTGTAGGTTTCATGTTCCACAGATTCTCAAAGGGAGAAACAAATCCTAACCTTGGTTGAGGAAGTCTGTTGATCACAAAGGCTGCAGTCCTCATTGCTTCAGCCCAAAACCTTCCCGGTACGTTCTTTGCATGTAGCATACTTCGACAGACTTCTGCAAGATACCGGTTCTTTCTCTCAGCTACACCATTTTGTTGTGGTGTGTTGGCACAAGTGTACTGATGACGTATTCGACATTCCCTTAGGTATTGAGAGAACTCACTTGAGCTATATTCTCCCTCGTTATCTGTGCGCAGGCAAAGGATCTTCTTTCCCACTTCTCCTTCGGCTGACTCTCTGAACTCTTTAAACTTTAAGAATGTGTCAGATTTTTCTTTCATAAAGAAGACCCACACATACCTTGAGAAGTCATCAATGAATGTTACCATGTACCATATATCACCAACAGACGGTTGCTTAACTGATCCGAACACATCAGAGTGAACTAACTTTAATGGTTCTTTTGCTTTAAACTTCGATTCCTCATATGGCAATTGGTGTGCTTTACCATACTGGCATCCTGCACATACTGTGTCTGTTCGCACGTCCAGTTGAGGAAGCCCCTTAAGCATCGACTTTTTCACCATCACACTTAGCTTGGAATAGCTAACGTGACCTAACCGCATGTGCCATAGATCTGATGTCTCATTTTTCCTTGTCCTGTCTACATATGCAGATTCTGCTGACATTACATAGACTGACTCCAATCGTCGCCCCTCCATTGTTGGTGTTTCTGAGATTTTGAGGTCACGATACACCTTCACATCTCGTGGACCGAACAAGACATGGTGGCCTGATGATGTCAATTGAGCCACATATAGCAAATTTTTCTTCATTCCTGGGACATGATAAACATCTTGAAGTGGCACCTGGTTAGAATTATATCGAGGCTTAACTATTGTCTTACCGATGTGAACTATCGGTAACCTTGAGTTGTCGGCTGTCACCACCACACAACCTCCTTTGGATTCAGATAGATTTTGCAGCTTCTGTTTATCACCCGTCATATGATTTGAGCAGCCCGAATCTACGATCCAATCATTTTTGTAGTCAATGCGTTCTGGTGTTGTTACCGTGAGGGCTAATTCTTCTTCTTCCTCCGTAACGAATAATACTTCAGCATCCCAGCCATCTTCACTATTCTCCTTCGAACTGGAAGTAGCAGTATTACTTTCAACAGGCTCTTTCTTGGTCCAACAATCTTTCGCCATGTGGCCCATCTTCCCGCAGTTGTAACACTTGCTACTAAACTTTTTACTATTACCGCGATTCTTCCAAGCTCCCCCTGGATGAGAGCCTCTATTTCCTTGGTGACTTTGTACCTTTTCTCCATCCTTTTTAGATCCACTACCAGTGTACCGCTTGAAGGTGCCTTTGTTTTTGTTGGTGTAAAGCGCTTCCTCTTCACTCTTCAGTGAGACTCTTCCCATTCGCTTGGCCATACCTTCTTGACCTGCAAGCAAATTTTCAAACTCAACAAGTGATGGTTGTGTCGGCCATCCTTGTATAGCGGCAATAAACCCTCGATATTCGGGTCTTAAACCATGGATAATTATTCTCTTCATCCTGGTTTCCCCAATAGGAGCTGTTGGATCTAATTCTGAAATTTCGCGGCATATCGACTTCACCTTGTGAAAGTACTGGGCAATCGTCATGTCGTGTTGTACCATCGATAGCAGCTCATTCTCGAGAAGTTGCAATTTTGTATCGTTCCTCTTCGAAAAGAGTGTAACAAAAGTGTCTCATGCTTCCTTTGGCGTTTTAGCATCCCGAATGTGCTCCAACATTTCTTCTTCTATTGTGGTCTTTAAAGCAAACATTGATTTGCATGCTTTAATTCTCCACTTCCGCAAGACGCCGTTAGCATCTTCCGCTGCCGGTTGTGTAGCTTCACTACCACCGACAACCTCCCACAAGTCTTGACCTTGAAGGTAAGACTCTATACACGTTGCCCACGTGTTATAGTTTTGGTTGTTGAGCTTCTTGATTCCTCCAACAACTTGAAGATCACTCATCGTATCAGCAAGACTTTGACTATATCGAACAAGCTTGAGTGACTATCGTGCAGAGTAATACACTACTCTCGACACAAAGAAGCTCCCTCTCAAGGTTTGTGATAACCCCAGCAATAATCTCAAGAAATCTCTTCTGATGTGGAAGATCAGTCAAAACTGCAACCACAGAGCATACTTGGAATTTCAAGAGACTTTACAACCAATGCTCTACCAAGAACGATCCCTAACCGACTTGGCTCTGATACCAATTATTGAATAAGAAGAGTATCCAAGATAACTCTAATGATCCCAAGAAGAAGAAAATAGAGCACACTCTTAAAGAAAGCTCACAAAACAAATTAATTAGCAAAGTTTTTCTTATTTAGCTCTAGGCTTTGTTTTTCCTTGGATGATATACAATGCTTGGGAACTTGGGTATTTATAGCAAACCAAATGAAAACTACATCACACACTTTGTTTTTCCTTGGATGATATACAATGCTTGGGAACTTGGGTATTTATAGCAAACCAAATGAAAACTACATCACACACTTAATTAAACTAAGATTATTTACTACCACACAAAACCCATTAATTGCACCTAATTTTTTTCCACGCAACCATACCTAACATTGCCTAACTTTACAATTGTAAGCAATTACATCATCAAACTAGATATGGACTTGGACTTTAGATTGGGTTGTGAATTACTTATGGTTTTGGGCTGACATTGATTCTCAACAAAAGTTTCCAGGTTCCATTTGTAGGCTGCAAAACGGCACACCCTACTACTTTCGGATTCTGAGAAACTCACGGAGCTGCCGAGGGACACGGAACCTAATCAACCTCAGAACATTGGAAGCACATTAACTTTTTCTCTGCCAAACGGATTCACTAAAAACGGATTCATCATAAAGAAACAAAAAGACAACATGAATCCATAACGTTGACTTTCATCTCTAAGTTCGATAACGGTATGAATGTTGGCACCTAATTAGTAATTACCCTCAACAATTAGACCAGGAAAAAATGAAGCAACACAACACAAGCTCTCAAATTTTAGCCTTACATGGACTAGGTACAAATTTTCGGTTTAATGTCATCAAAATTATTTTTACACCTCCAAACATAATTATCTGCATCGTGATTATCTTCGACTTCACCGAATGTTTTCTCCTCCCTATAATCTCAACAAACGAAAGCCATTGAGAACCTTGAAAGCAGATGTAAAAAAGAAATGAAGATATACTTCATACATTAGCAACATACTTCATTAATGTGAGACCCGCTGCAATCTTACACCTCTCAAACAAATAAGATATATGATTCAGTGCATAGAATGTTCTTATTCGGGATGTTGAAATTCAAGATCTAGTTTCCTCTTTAGATGTGTTCTGTCAGCACTGCAGAAGAAAGAGTAAAGAAAACAATTCAAAATCCGCACTCTACTCAATAACACAGCTAACACATAAACCGGGATACACTTGGACCGTTTGATTCCAAGAGAGATGATGCTAAGTCTAGAATCCAATCCTTTGGAATCTGGTTTCGTATACTTTTTATTGTTATCGTATTATGAGGTTTTGAAATCACTTCAAGCTAAAGTGTACAACTGTGATGCAAATTTGAGAGAGTACAGAAATTTAAACGCATTAAGAAAGAACATGTATAAAGTGTTTTACCTATTAATTGTAGGTCTAGTTGGAGGTTTTGCTCCAAAGATAGAAAAATCAACTGACACTGGTTCATTCCTGCTTGTATTTTCACCAGCAGCATGTCTGGCTTCACTGAAACGATCATCAATCTTATCAACATGTGAATTTCCTTCAAAACCATCACGCTTTGGCATCACTCTCCTTGATTTTCGTGGAGGTGATAACACAGTAGGACCATCATGTGGATCAAAATCTGAAGCCTTAGATTCCCGCTTTGGAGCAGGTCTAGGAAGCTTGTCTGGATACGTAGGAAGAGGGGCAGATGTAAAGTACCTAAAGAGTACCACAGATATCACACACAGAACAAAAAGAGAAAACAAAAATGTGTAGATACTCAGTTGAATAGCTAGAGCCTGATACCTGTGCTCTAATGCCTGCTGTACGGAAATTCTAACTTTGGGGTCATAAGTAAACATCTTCGCTAACAAATCTAGGGCATCATCACCAGCCACTGGAAACAATGAACGCAAAGGGGGTGCTGGAACATATTGGTATTCCACATAATCCCGGAGGTATACCATATCAGGCCACTGAGAAGGTGTTGGAGTCCCAAAAGCCGCAAAAATCTTTCCTAATTGATCAATATCACTTGATCCCTATTAAACATTTCAAATCAATCCAAAATGTAGTCAGAAAAAGGTGCACCCAGCCTAAACTTCATTTATGCATGGCCCATGGAGAGCAATAACAAAATTACACATGACAAAACATTGCAAAAGTGATCAAAGTTGATTTATTGAAGACGTCAGTAAAATATTAGCTAGTGAGAACCATCTTCATATAAACATTCCGCAGAAATGACAGAAATGTGCAGTAAAGTAAAATCTCAAAAGTGAGACACAATTGGCGGTGGCTATTACAATGAGCTCACGAAGATGCAACCCAATACAGGATTTTCTCTTTGGTGTAAAATAATATCTAACAAACTCATGTTTGTTTTTTGTCCACTGCCAGAAACGAGTACTTGTAATAAGAATTTGAAAACATGAACACATAAGCGACAAAATGAAAACTATAACAGCAATAAAAACATATTGGCTAATGGAAAAGAGTACCACATAAAAAGAGTTTCACTACAATTATGAAATATGGATTTACCTGCAAAAAGGGTCTGCGTAAGAGAAGTTCAGCAAATATACAAGCTGCAGCCCAAACATCTACCCCAGGTCCATATTGCTTGGTGCCAAATAACAGCTCAGGTGCTCTATACCAACGGGCAAAGACCTATTAATATGTGTCAAGGTGTTATAAAGAGCTTGAACCTAAAAGCATGCTAATCACTGAAAGAAAATGCACTTTTTAGTGGTATATAAAAGAAACACCATCTTTGTAGACTTTGAAGGAATGCGCCCAATTAGCAGATATTTGAATATAATTTCCAAAGCAAATACGTCGTCTATTAATAATTTAAGGGAAAAAGGGTCATATATACTGGTTTGTTGTACAATCTAACGAAAAACTATTAAGACAGGAGTCTTAATATCTGAAGGCCATTTCGAAAGTGTTTCATTCTAAACAATTTACCAAATACCCACCACATTTGTTTTACATCTCTCACATGGATAGTGTAATAACCAATACCACCATGGAGAGGAGGTTTCTAAGACAAGTGAAGACTGGCATCAAACCAACTCACAGTGCCAAGGACAAGCAGTGGCACTTTAGTAGGCTTGCTTTCAGTAAAAAGCATAAAATTATATGTAAAGAGATCTAACTCAAAATACCATCAAGACAAGGAGAAACAAACCTGATGAGTGAACCTGCGATCTGGGCTCCCAAATATTCGTGCTAAACCAAAATCTGCAAGTTTAAGCTGCCCATTAGGTCCTATCAACAAGTTGTTAGGCTTCATATCCCTGCAAAGCACAATTAGCACACATCTCAGACAAATAATAACAACCAAATAATTATCTACAAAGAAGGCTTCTAGACAAAAGGACTACCTGTGTAAAACCCATTTCTTGTGGCAAACAGCAAGTCCTTTTAACGTCATCTGAAGGTATGACTTTATGTCAGCTGGTGATAGGAATATATTCCGATCACGTATAACAGCTTCAAGGTCCGTTTCCATGAACTCAAATACAAGATGCAAGTTTCCTTTATGCGGGAATGCTTCAATCAACTCAATTATGTTCGGATCTTTCAGCTCTTTAAGCAGCTTAATTTCTCTGAGAGCTGTGAAATTCACCCCTTCCTTTTGCTTCCCAAGCCGAATTTTTTTAATAGCAACTGTCTGTCCTGTCTGCACAAGGAATGTATTGAAACCGAAATCAGAATCGATAGAGACTACTCATCAAACTTATTACGGTGCATTCAGTTATAAGCAAAAGAAAAGGAAACTTTAAACCACTTCAAAAGAATACCGACTCGTTAGTTGCTCATTTGGTAGCTCAGAAAGGTGAAAAACCATTCTCAAATTATAACAACAATTTCCAATTTTCTAACGGCAGAAGTATAGGCAACATGGTGTTGAAGAACTCCATTTCAAAGGCGACTAAGAATTCGGTGTCTGCACTCAAAATCGATTGCAACCCAACCCAGTTTCTAAGTATAGCGGAAAGTTCAAAAAAAAAAAAAAGACTTTAAGCTACAATGTTATACAATTCCATCCAAAAAAGTGAAATTCTTTTCACATTCAGAACTCAATTTTCTCAGCAAACAAACAAGTCCTTAAAAATCAAATTCCACAGACACACGCACACAAACACGCAAAATGCACAACCCAGAAAACTCGAAAGATTACACAAAGCAAAAAGAAATTTTCAAAATTTGACAAAAATTCCACGACTGAAGAGAAATGGTAGGGCTTTTACCTTCGTATCAATGGCTTTGTAGACGACTCCATAGGTACCTTCACCAAGAACCTCGCGCTTCAGATACCTATCCGCCACTTTCTTAGTCAGATCGACCTCTGCCATTGTCACTCTCCTAGTTATCACCTTACTGAAGTTTAATTCAATTTACGTTTTTACAGTGAAGTTTCTGGGTGAATTTTCTATACACAATTGGGAATTTTCCGGGAAAATCATTCTATCGGGAAAATTCTTTAGGGTTTTAGCATTTGGCGCAGACGAGAAAGCCGTTGAAGCCCCAGAGAGGACAGAGACAGAGCGTGTAGAAGCAACGTCAATTTCAACGTTATTTGTTTATTTATTATTCTGCTTTTAACTGGAAGTGGTTCGCTTTTTAATTTTGAACATTATTGGGGGTATTTTAGACTTTTGACATGTTCTATATTATAATTTGGGCTTGGGCTGAGGGAAGTCTAAGATTATATCCAAACCGTTTTGGGCAACTGATATGTAGCCCAGTAGACCCGACTACCCGCTCGACGTGCCCGTATGTGCGTAAGCAATGATGTCATGAATGGTATGATTGATATTTTTGTATTGATATCAAAAGTATGATTCTTCATGGACTCCCTGTCAGCTGACAGTTGATTGTCTACGCCCTCAATTCCTGCACTAATACCATAAAATATTGTGCCAATAAATGAAGTAAGCAGAGTTCTTATGCGAGATTTTTGCTCACAGCCTACACTTTGGTGTGTGATCACCATACACCTAATCTATTGTTACATGTCATTTTACTTAACTTTGAATAACTTTTTCTAAAATTGAAAAAATAACATTTAATGTGAAATTTAGCTAGAATTAAGTGAAAAGACACATGACAAATGATTAGATTATGATGAGCATACACTAGTAGTCTCTCACTATGGTGATGAGCAAAAATGTTCTTGAGTTCATATAGAGTCTTACTTTAGCATTTCTCAAAGGAATATCCATGTGGTGGAATCGATCAGCCTCACCCCACAAGTAGCTTTATTATCTTTTTATGTGTAAATGAATAATACGTGGATAAACAATAATATCATTTGTCGATATTCGACAAATGAAGCGCAAGTGATTAAGAGTGTATTTACGTCTATGTTTGATTTTCCCATCTCCAATGTTACCAGTACAAAAAATAGTAATATTGTATCTGCACATGAAGTTGATGTTGAATCATCCAAATTTTGAAGTTCTGTGTTCAAACATCGCTTTTACCTTGTATTGAAAAAATTACAAGATCCAAGATACAAAATCCACGACTAAGGATATGACTAGTCAAAAAGTGTGTTCTCCACTCTTTATAAAAACAAAAAGTTGGCACAAGCAAATATTGACACAAATTTGAAAGGTGTGGGGGTAGAAAATGGGAGGTGTGAAGCTGTTTGCAACAAAAGAAAGCCTTTTCAGTGCTAGGATTCAGTGGGCATTGAAGCTCAAGGGTGTGGAGTATGAGTTCATATTAGAAGATTTGGCAAACAAGAGTCCCCTCCTCCTCAAGTACAACCCCATCTACAAGAAGGTGCCGGTGCTTGTGCACGGTGACAACGTCATTGTCGAGTCACTTGTGATCCTCGAGTACATCGAGGAGACATGGAAGGAGCACCCGTTGCTGCCTCGGGACTCATATGACCGAGCCACAGCTCGATTTTGGGCCAAGTTCAACGATGAAAAGGTACCCCTTTTGTGCAAAATATGTATGCAAGTGACACAGCTATGCCTTTTGTGCGCGGCTAGCGAATTTAACACTCCGTTTTCTTGCCTCATGCATGCTTATAAAACATTCAGTTTTGAGTGCAGACGGCCTGTGTTTGATCCTATATGGTAGAGAGAGAATCTCTTAATCTTTCCCGACTCGAAACTAATTTTCTTGTGTATGTTCACGTTCCAGCTTGTGCCTCCAGTGTGGACAGCTTGCACAGGAGAAGGCGAAGCGCAGGAGAAGGCGAAAGAGTCTGTGTTAGAATCACTAGCACTTCTCGAGAAGCAGATCGAAGGGAAGAAGTTTTTCGGCGGAGAACAAATAGGGTATCTAGATTTAGTATTGGGATGGATATCTTACTGGATAAGTGCTGTTGAAGAAGCTGGAGGCAACAAGGTACTTGAAGCAGAGATGTTTCCATCTCTCCACCAATGGGGTCAGAACTTCATCCACACTCCGCTCATTGAAGAATGCATTCCGGCTAGAGAAGCGTTTGTCGCCTACGTCCAATATGCCATCATTTACATTCGTTCCATATCCGCCAACAAACCATGAGGACGTGCTTAATCTCTTCACCTCCGGATCTGATTACTGTTATGAGTCTTCCTCTTGTCTATGTATTCTGGTACAATAAATGAAACAGCGAAGAAAGAAACATTTCAGTTAATGTTATCACTTGACAGAACAACGATCATGTACTAAATAGAAACAATCATCACATTGCAGCACCGCATTGTATCGAAACCACTCCGAAATTCTGATGTGGAGGGAACAATTTAGATGATCTTCCATTAAGAAATAACTCGCTGCTCGGTTCTAATGCGAGTTTAATGAACCACAGGAGCAGGTACAAAATGCATATTATAGCAAAACCACTATTCAAGGAGAAGCCGATAGTGATGCAAATTAGAACAAGAAGCTGTAAAATCAACTAACCTTGTATCGAAATTTAACTGCGTAAATCTAAAGACAATAGCGAAAGAATTTAGAAAGCAACCGACGAAGGGAATAAGTGGAGAGTTCAAATTTGGGATAGATTAAAGAAGGAAAGTTTGGTAAAGTCGAATCTTCAAGTATTGACTACTCATAAACGTCACACACATCACTACATTTCTAGAAGAGGGTTCAATTGGTCGTGATGCAAGAAGCAAATTCTATCCTTACTTCCTTAGTTTGAAAGTTCAACAGATTAGGTGAGATTAAAGTTCATCTGAGCGTACTAAACAGTACTTTTGAGTAATAAACATGAGAGTTGATTGACTTACAACTTTCTCTGCAAGAAATGTGATGCTTTTCGAAATCCCGCCTTCAGACCAATGCTTCAAAAGATTGAAAACTTGGTTCAATTTCAGAATTTGCAGACTTCAAAATGTGTGATGAAACATGGAGAGAGAACCCACTGTTGCCAGAAGATCCATTCGAAAAAACAATGGCGCGATATTGGGCAAAGTATGTCGATGAGAAGGTAAACAAACAACATTCACACTGCACTCCAGGTGTGTGTGTGTGTGTGTGTGTGTGTACATGTATGAATGTTTGTACATTTAACTATACATATATCGAAAAAGAGAAGCTAACGAGCTTTGATGTCAAGGAAGAAACACCTAAAAGGTGAATCTAATCTGTCCAATAAACAAAGCATCACGCAGCCTTGATATTTCCCGATATATGTACATATGTGTATGTATAATATGATCCTTAAAGGTGAATCTAACATCTATATTTGACTGAAACAAAAATTAAGTCACTACACGGCGACAACGGCACCAGAAAGCAGTTCCCCCACGTTTGCCTCGGCCAACTGCTAGTTCTTCATCAATGTAAAACCATATAAAGAATGGATCCTTCGTGCTAGGCTTTCTGTCGTCTTTCTGGCCTAGACCGATCTCAAGGGTTTTCAAAGGTCCAATGTTTATTCGGATGGACTAAAAGACGAAGGCTAGTATTCTCTCCTTCCATTAAAGTCTTCCTTCAAATGTTAAGCATCCAAATGGCCCGAAATACACCCCGTTCTCAATTCTCTTTCCCTGATAACCCCGACAGACATTTGTTAGCCTCAAAAGTTGAAATGCAACTAGGAAAATGCTACTCGTGCCTATGTTTTCCGATTATTCTTGACGACGAGAACTTCTAAGAGCTCCTAATTTAGTTTTGAACAACAATAATATCCAAGCAACTTCACAAAGAAATGGCTCATTACAAAATGCAGGCACAGAGTGATCGAAATTGAGATAAAAAGACTTACAGCAGCATCAAATCGCTGAACTGCGGTAATAGGGAGGTAGCGACCGCCCCTCAATTCCTTCTGCAAACACCACAAAACAATGCTCATTTCTGGTATAAAAGGCGAAAGATTGAACATGGTTATGGCACAGGTGAAAGCTTTATACTAACCTCAGCAGTAAATATGAGCATCCATGTTCTCCCCGGGGATTCTAAGCGTGTTAAGAAACCCGGAAGGGTCGAGCTTTCCCTTCTCAATGACGGATAGAGCGGACAGAACCTCCTCCTTCTCAACCCGTCTTGTTTTCGCGGAATTTTTGAGCAATTTCACACTCTCCTCCACTTCCTTAACACAACAATAACAGCATAACTTAATCAAAATATAAGTTCTTTCATTAGTATGTGCCTCCCTAAGAAGTGCTTCTTCACTCGCACATTTTAAGTTTTGCTGCTGGATGATGCAGTTCGAAGTGTTTTTGGTTGTCAAAACGCTTTTAGCTAATTTTTGCAACTGAAAGAAAAAAATAATGAGAAAAGCATACTTTGGTGGGCTGTGGTGGTTCCTGGACAAGCTGAGATGTGGCGGTGGCGCTTTGTTCGCCGCCATCAACGGTTGCTCTGGTTCTTGTGGTGGAAAATTTGAGGATGGGATTGCGATGTGTGGGCTTGGATTGAGGTGGGATTTGGAGGGGGAGACTTGAGGGTCTGAGAAATGATTGAGAAGAATTGAGAGCCAAGGAGGAGGAGATTGCTGTGACTCTGTGTGAGGCTGAGGCCATTGCTGCTGTCACTCTCTATGTGCCTATGGGGTACCATGCAACTCCTCCCTCTTTTGGGTCCTTCATTCTGTTGAATCGAGCTTCTCTCCTGATCTTTCGGGTTCGGAGCTGTTGGATTTGGAAATTCGGACAACTTATTTTAAATTTTACGGCTTTTTCATCTCACTCAAATTAAAAGTTCGAATCCCTATTTTCAACAGTTCAGATTTTCGATCTTTAACTTTTGAACATAGAGATTTTAAGAGGATCCCGATTCGATTTGTTGATCCTTTCATTCACTTTTTTTTTACAAGTGGATTAGATTTCTATATTTTAAAACAATTTTGGAAAAAATAAAAACAATTATTTTCAAATTTTAAGAATGAAAAATTGCAAGGATGACACGTCAACATTTTCACTTTTGTCCATTCACAATTAAGTAGTTAAAATGACACTTAATATTACGATTTAGTAATATTTTTCTTTACTTATAAACGAGCGTTTTTAAGTTTGATTTCTTAAAAAGTGAATTCGAATCAAATTATTATTATAATTAGTTCAATGTAAAGCTTATTTACCTCCCGCTTCTGTTGAGTTTAATCGTTAAAACTCATGACTTATCAATATATTTGATGCATAAATTTTTTTTTTTTTGTAACTAAGTCGATACTAAAAAATAGTTGTCTCCTTCGAATAATTATTCTTGTAAATTAACAAAATTGACCTCAAAAGGTTGAATTGATAAATCACGTGATTAAACTTAACAAAATAATAGATTCAAATAAAATGTATATGGCATATTATCAAAAAGTTTTAAATACAAATGGTTAATTGTAATTTTATTTTTCTTGAAGTGGCTAATTAGAAAATTGAAAAGAAAGATGGAATATATGTGCGACCCGATCGGAGAAAACGGATTTAACCCGCGAAAGTAAAACGAACTCCAAATTTCCAGGTGAGAAGCAGCGTTAAAATCCATATATTTCTCACTCTCACGCTCTCGCACCGTCTCTGCCTCTCTATCTCCTCCTCCTGCTCCGCCTCCTCCGCCCAACCACACCACTGCAGGTGGCGATCAACCAATGAGCGACGCTCCCGCTCTGTGCATCTCCTCCGCCAGCTGACCCTTCACAAAAACAAAAGAAAACAACCTTCATTTCCGATCAAAATTACCAAAACACCACAATGTCCTCCTCCCGCAAGCTCCTCTCCACTCTCCTCCGCACCTCTCTCCGCCGCTCCGCCTCCGCCACCAGACCCGCAACCTCCAAACCCCCCCTCACGCGGCCCTCGGGGTACCTCCTCTCGCGCGCCGCTCACTACTCGACGTCATCGGCCGCAGCAGCCACCGCGCCTCCCACGCCCGCTTCGCCGTCAGTGAGTGAAAAAATCACAGATGATTTCACCGGAAAGGGCGCCGTCGGCAAGGTTTGTCAGGTGATCGGAGCCGTCGTCGATGTTCGGTTCGACGACGGGTTGCCGCCGATCCTCACGGCTCTCGAGGTCCTGGATAACTCGATCCGATTGGTGCTCGAGGTGGCTCAGCACCTTGGTGAGAACATGGTGAGAACCATTGCCATGGATGGAACCGAAGGGCTCGTTAGAGGTCAGAGAGTCCTCAACACTGGCTCCCCAATCACTGTAAGATCCTCCTTTCTGGCTTTCTATTTCTCAAAATTCAATCTTTTCTCGTGTTTAAGAGTTTATTTATTTAATTTTGTATTAAAAATGAATTTATTGATTAAATTTTGAAACTTTTGAATAATGGGGTTTTGGAAATTTATGAATTGTGTATCTGAAATTTGTGTGGATTAGGTGCCTGTTGGCAGAGCCACCCTTGGCCGGATTATGAACGTTATCGGAGAGCCGATCGATGAGAGGGGTGATATAAGTAAGCAGCAGCTGAAGCTCTCCAACTTTTTAAATTTGGTTTGCATTTGTATTATTTGTCAATATTATTAAGTTATAAATGTTGTAAATGAGTGTTGTTTTGCTTTCGATTCATCAGAGACCGATCATTTTCTTCCCATCCATAGAGAAGCTCCGGCTTTCGTTGAACAGGCTACTGAGCAGCAGATTCTTGTCACTGGAATTAAGGTACGGCGGCGGTGTACTAAATAAATGATGGATATGTAGATGCTAAGGGAGAAAAAAAAAGTTGAAAATTCAAGCTAAATGTTGGTGATGCATACAATCGGATTGCCAAACTCTGGAAAGGTTTTCGGTGTCTTTTTTTGTTTGTCATGTCTATTTTTAGACTGCAACAGATTCGAAGAGAGACTTTCTTCCGTATAATAGTATGCTCTTTGTTTTCTGCATATTAAGTGATCTCGGCATCAACCAAAACAAATAACATTTGTGTCTAACCTTTATCAAGGTTGTTGATCTTCTTGCACCTTACCAAAGAGGAGGAAAGATTGGGCTCTTTGGGGGTGCTGGTGTTGGAAAAACCGTGCTTATCATGGAACTCATCAACAATGTTGCCAAGGCTCATGGTTGGTTCCATTTAGATGCTTTTTAGTTATCCTCTCTCTTGAGTAATGATATCTCGGGTTATAAAATGTTTCATCCTCCTTCTGCAGGTGGTTTCTCAGTGTTTGCTGGCGTGGGAGAACGCACAAGAGAGGGTAATGATTTGTACAGAGAAATGATGGAAAGTGGTGTCATTAAGCTTGGAGATCAGCAGGTTAACTTACTGCAACATGACATAATAACTGTCCTACATTTCCTTTGCATTATGTTGTTCTCAATTCTGTTCCCATGGATTCCAGAGTGAGAGTAAATGCGCTCTTGTCTATGGACAAATGAATGAACCTCCTGGTGCCCGTGCTCGTGTTGGGCTCACAGGGCTGACTGTGGCTGAGCACTTCCGAGATGCTGAAGGACAAGATGTGCTTCTCTTCATTGATAACATATTCCGCTTTACTCAAGTAAGCTCTCTTAGCACACACACGCACACATTGTTCAGTTCATATATTTCAACTTCTTCTAACCAAATACCGCCCTTTTATTTATCTTCTCTTCAGGCTAACTCAGAAGTGTCTGCCTTGCTTGGCCGTATCCCATCTGCTGTCGGTTACCAACCTACCTTAGCTACCGATCTTGGAGGCCTTCAAGAGCGTATTACTACAACCAAGAAGGGTTCCATTACTTCTGTTCAAGCTATTTATGTGCCCGCTGATGACTTGACAGATCCGGCTCCTGCAACAACTTTTGCCCATCTTGATGCCACCACTGTGCTGTCACGACAAGTATGTAGTCTTCTATTTCCAATTAAATTATGAAGCAGGAATGACCATCTACTTTTTCTTCTGCTCCTTATGTTCTTAGATCTAACAATTGGTTCATGGTCAGATATCGGAGCTTGGCATCTATCCTGCGGTGGATCCCTTAGATTCTACATCTCGCATGTTGTCCCCTCATATTTTAGGAGAAGATCACTACAACACTGCTCGTGGTGTTCAGAAGGTTCTTCAAAATTATAAGAACTTGCAAGATATTATTGCTATTTTGGGAATGGATGAGCTCAGTGAAGACGACAAGTTGACTGTTGCTCGTGCCCGTAAGATTCAACGTTTCTTGAGCCAGCCTTTCCATGTAGCAGAAGTCTTCACAGGAGCTCCTGGGAAATATGTTGAGTTGAAGGAGAGCATTACCAGCTTCCAGGTGATGGACATTTTCCATATTTCCTTTTTGTCTTGGTCTTGGATTAGTCATCACTTCGATTTTGCTAGAATGATTCCTTTATGTGCTAGCCCTTCAACTCTCTGACGTTGTGTTGGGGGATTTCATTTCTACAGGGAGTTTTGGATGGGAAATATGATGACCTTCCTGAGCAATCATTTTACATGGTTGGCGGAATTGAAGAAGTCATTGCTAAGGCGGAGAAGATTGCTAAGGATTCGGCTGCATAATCACTCACATTAAGTTGGCTCTTCTCTACAAGGCTATATTACCAAAGAGCTAATGTTGGCTTTGGAAAATCTCAGGAATTTCAAAAAAATTCTTTTCGGAGAAATATAGGTTTGTCATTCCGGGAACTATTTTTGGTAGGTTAAGGGTTGTGTTAGGAAGAGAATTGAGGAAGGGACATGTTCTGTTAGGCTCCGTTCCCCTTTGTGCAATAAGGTATGCACTTGCGTTGCGTGTATTTATTTATCTATCTATAATCATTTGAATTCCTCACCAGAGGTTTTCTTCGTCCTGTGTCGGTCCACAGCTTCAGCTGCTTGTAGGGTTTCTTTCTCGAATGGATGCAGGTCGATCCTTCATCCTTGGCTCTCAACGAAGGAGGTAAGTTACCACCTTTACTCATTGAGTTGGTTTGTGTTCAGCTCTGAAATTCTGTCTGGCTGGTGAGAAAATGTGGGAAAAGTTGAGTCGGAAAAAAAAATCATTTTATTTTTCTTTCGTGATTAAACACGCGAGTGGTGTTTAATCTTTACATTGCATTGACGTACTAATAAAAGTACTTTCTTTATTCACGATCTTCCTAATTGAAGCTACAAATTAAAATTCTTTCGGAGGAGCTTCAAATCTTCAAACGGCAAGTTGCATTGTTTGTTGTTACTCAGTCGCTGATCTGCGTTTGAGTACAACAAACAGGCTAACAAATTTCTTTGATTCGAGGATGGAGGAGGATTCTTCGAGTTTCTTGCGGAACAAGTCAAAAAGATGATCCAGATCAATCTCCTCCCCGAAATGCTTCTGAATCATTCCCTCCATCCCGGATCTCACGCCGGAGGCAAATGCCTTGGGCTGTGGTTTGTCCCCGCTCAGGATTTCCATTGTCTCTGTGCTGAAACATCCATTAGCTTTCACAATCGCTTCCACGTCTTCGAGCGAAGCGATATATTGTGGTATGTTAAAGGAGTCCACTTTCTCTTCGGAGATGAAACCCTACTCAAGAAACAAAAACACCAAGGTCAAAATGGTCACCAGCCTAAAATAACAAGGCAAATCGCTTATCTAGAAAGCACTTGTGCGCATAAGCTTAAGCAGGTTGAAATGTTTATCACAAAATCTAAGTGCTTCCTAAAGAATCTGGCAGATGTTTCTCTAGAAAACGCTTCTATGAGCCATAAATATTTATAATTTTTTCTGTTAGATGTAACCAGAAGTGATTTTGGAGTCAAAAAGCGTTTTTAATCATGTTAGAAGCAATCCCAAATGGCGCTAAAGGAAGCGTGTTACAGAGAAAGCTCTACATAAAGTCATTAAGTTCTATGATGTACATACACTGAGCTGATCATTTCTTACCTTCTTGGCCATGTCCATGAGGCAGGATCCAAAGAGTTCTTTCGCCGTGTTGACGAAAACTTCTGCATGAGGGATTCCATTGGGGCGGCCGGGGACGACAAACGCCATCAACCCTCCGCTTACAATCTCTTGTGCTCGAGCACTCAGAAAGCAGTCCATGTCCTTGGCATACTGAGCTTCATACGCCTTAACAACGTGGTTTGCCGATTTCGAGTAATGAATCCGCCCTTTGTTCCAAGCCGGCGAGTTCACGTCCACCACTTCTTCCGGGACTTTCGAAAGAAATTGGAGGGAATATGAAGAGTAAGCAAAGTGAAGAAAGGCCTTGGGGAAAAGCCGAGAGTAAAAAGAACCTGGCACGCCTGCCGCGTAGTACCGCCTGTCCGAAGGCATAGATTTGAAGAGCTCATTGAAATCGTTGGAGGCGTGATCGTTGAAAAAAACTTGGAACTCAGGGAGCTGAGAATTGTGTCCTTGGCCTTGACACTTTTGCTCCACAGCATCAAGTACGCTTTGCACTGCATGGAATGTGTTAGGCCCGACGGAGCAGCCTAAATCCGTGACTCGAAAGGCGTTCGTCGAACAGATGATTTTGCTATCGAGCTTTTCGAAAATTGCTTCCTTGATCAGTTCCTTGCCAGCTTCTATGGCTTTTCTCTACAGAAAAGATAAAGAAGAGGAGCTTGAGTTATTTTCTCCTCGTCAACGTGAAACAAGCTTCCATTATGTGAGTGAAAATTATACTGCCCCCTAGTGTATCTTATACGTCGAAATTTTTTTTATTGTTAAATCTTAGTGCATCTTGCACGTCAAAATTCTATTATCTATCCATTAAGTACGTCAGAAACAAAGTTAGAAATCTTCTTTAGTGCGGCAACCTTAACCTCTAAACTTGAGAAAAAAAAATCATGATTCTTCTATAATTTCATTACTTTTATTTTCTTCTCAAATTTCATTAAGCCAACTTGTAGACATTTTTCCAAATGATAAGCTTATTATACTTATTATGTGAAAACTTTAACTATACTACTTAATGTGATACATTCAAATTATGCAGGTGTCTTTTATTTTTTCTTCGTCCGCACAAAACTTCAGTAGCGGCAACTGCCCCCAGTGGGCCTCTCAGCCTCTGCTACCTCCGTCCCTCCCTCCCTGAAGTGAGTACTATCTTTCCCAATGACATTATTGACATGGAATGTGGCACAATTTGTTTCATTGAAAAAGATATGCATTGAAGTTTTTCTATCCTTCAAAGATGAAGTAAAAAAAATAATACTTCGATCCCCACCAGTTGAATAGTGATAATTTTATATCCTTATTTAATGGCATGCACTGGTAATAATGTAACACATTACACGTATCATTCGATAAAGATATAGGGCATAACACTGTGACAACTGACACACCTGCAATGCTGAGTTTTTGCTGTAGCTGTAGAGGCTATCTCCACCGTTCATCGGACACGCCACCAATTCTGCCATCCCTCTCTCTCTCTCTCTCTCTCTCTCTTATGTGTTTATCTTGTGGATTAATCGTTGATCCTCTCCTGATCAAGTCCCCTATTAATTTATACCACTCGGAAAACTTTGACCAGTAAAAAGAAAGAACAAAAGTTTAATTTTGAATGGAAAGTAATTAAGACATTGATCGACTAAAATGAGCACATGCATGCATCACATTTAGTCGTCAAAATTTACCCGAAATTAAAACAACCAATCACTAAACCACAACATATATATAAAACCATATATTACATCTGAACATTTGAAAGTGATCATAAATCTAAGCATGCGTGGAGTCATTACGTGGTCAAATTTGGTCAAAGGGAATAAACTATTGGTACGACAAGTCTACAAAACTTTTATATGTCGTCATCGCGTGCGTCATGGATGTTGTTGCTCAAACTTTTCAAATCTAAGCCAAATTTGTATGGACTGTTAAGATGTTGCCTACAACGAACTGTGCTGCCACCTGAGTTACTTAAGAATCGGCGGCACGGAGCGTTATTCGTCCGTCGTTTGTCGTTCGAAGGGGACACTCTCCAAAGCTGACGCTCAGGGAGGTTGATCTGAATGGGCGCTATAGGAGAGGATTGTGCGTTCTTAGCTCAAGTAGAACTCGTGTCACACGTAACAGTAGAAAGTTTCTGTTATTATAAACTTAATCATGTCCAAAACACGAATCCCTACTTAAATCAACAAATAACAACTAGGACTTATGTCCAGTTGTTAATAATTTGGCATGAATTCAAATGTCACGTATTAATTCTTACTTTAATTCTAATTTATGTATGAAATTTGCTAAATTAATCAAACTATATCAAAATAATTTGTCTGACTTGACTTATCTTCTCCAATACTTTATACCTATATATATATATATATATATATATATATATATATATATATCCTATATAGATGTTTTCTTCGATAAAAAAAATTTAGATGTTTGAGGAAACAGTGGTTGCAACTCTTGCAGCAAGTATTGTTGACACCTAAGTATGTGAGAATGCGTCACTTATATGTGCAAATAAACGTTTTTTTTTAGGAGAACTTCCTGATTTTGTTTACCCGATACGTGACCGTCAACAATTTCTTTTCTTCACTCGAACAGTTCAAGGCTGCGGAGAAATGCTCATTCACCAGACTTGATTTCATTTGAGTTTTTCAGAGTTTAGATATAGGGTTATAACCAGTTGGTTGCTCTCGATCTATTTAAATTTTGTATTAATGAGTTGCAATTTTTGTTGGTTCTAAAGGGACAAAGATAATCTGCAATACGACTAGAGATATAACTCAGTGAGACAACAAATTTTTTCGAACGAAAGGATTCAACATTATTACGTGCCGGTCTCGTGTAGCATGTTGCAGTTTAGTGCTACTTTCACAACCCAACACATAGTTTGGATAGGAATGTGATAGTTTCATAAAAAGTTGATGACTAGTTCACGAATTTTTCGTTCAATACTTGTGCAACTATCTCATTCTTTCTTTGTATAACTTGAATTTATCTTCTCCAGTGCTTTATTTATTGCTTATTGCAAAACAATTCTCTCTATATGAACCCAAACAGATACCTAAATTATATCTCTCTGTATATGTTTGTCTATCAAAGATATTTGAGGAAACTAACCGTTGTAACTCTGTGCAAGTATTTTTGAGATCTACTAGACAATCTAAATGTTAAAAGTTACACTAAACTTTTCTTGGGATGCAAAAATAAAATTGGCTTTTCGAGCATCTTTCTCTCTTCTGAGAGTATTTCTCACCTTTCTGTGTGAGTTTTTCATTGTCGGTTTTTCTCCCTAGCCACCGCCCCGAGCTCCGGCAAGGGTCGGTGGCAGTCCTCTGTTTCCTTCCTTGTTCTTCTTCCTTCTTCCTCCCTTCTTCCGCTTCTCTCTTCCCTCCGTTCAGATTCCCTTCCACTTCCATGTCTTTCATCTCTTTCTCTTCCTCTGTTTTCAATTCCTTCCAATCTCACTTCAAGTTTGATTCTTTCCCTGTTACTTCCTCTTTCCCGATCTGCAACCTCTTCTCTTCACAGCACTTGGCTGTGTTTTCTTTGGAAGGTGTGTAGAGTTTTTACTCGGGTGTTCACACCACCACCTTCCGTTTGCTTGCCTTTATTAGCACTGTTGTCAGTGGATTTTCCACCGGCTTCTTGGCATGTGGGTTGTTGCAGGTTGGAGGAGTTTGGCTGCTTGCTACCAGTTCGGGGTGTTGGTTTATGCTGGTGTGGATGCTCTGTGGTGTTGGAGCACTGGTTTTCTTCACGCTTGGGGTTTTGGTTGGTCGGCGTGCTGGACGGCTTGCGTTGGTGGCTTTCAACATTGTTGGCATCGGAGGGGATTGCAAGGTTCTAGGAAGTTCTGTGACTTTGTTTGTGTGTGTTCGGGGGCCCAAAATTTGTTTTGGACTCTTTTGTGTGTACTGTTCAGGTCCACTGTTTTGTTTTGTACTTATGTAGTTTGTGGACCTCTTTGTATGTTTGTTTGGCATTGGGCCCTGGAATATAATGTCCAGTTTTCCAAAAAAAATGAAAAAAGTGAAATTGTTAGGATGCCATGTGTCAGCATCATATTAATAGTATATGTTGTATAAATAGGCAGCTTAGAGAGGAAAGGCGTTGTTGATTTTATAATAGTTGTAATAGTCTTCTCTATAATACAAGTTATTGTGCAATTGAGAAAAAAGTGGAGTTGGGTTCTAACATTGGTATCAGCCAGTCGTTCGATTCCTCTTAATCATTTACTCGTTGACGCATCTCGCTTCGTGTAAGGCCATGGAATCTCGCGTCCCAAATCTGGGAGCCATGTTCGCTGAATTCAAGAACGAAGTCAAGAGCAGTCAAAACCTAATCTTGCAGCAACTGCAGTTGCTTATGGCGAGAGGTGGTGGTGGATCGGTCGGGTAATTTTCGAAGCCAACCCATGCAAATCCTCATTTCCAGGAGGGGATGTCATGGTAGGAACGTTTTGTCGTAAAAAAAGGTAAGAGCCGACTTACCTGTTACAAGAGAAATGGTGACAAAGTGTAATTCTAAATTTTTTAAATTTTATTGAGAAAAAGATAATTTTGTAAGTTTATGAGTGCACTCTTAACAACTTTGATGCATTAGTGAAACAAGAACTTTGTAACGACAATTAGATTAGAGTTCTTTTTTTTTTTTTAGCAAAATATTATAACAAATTAACAATATAACCATTTTTTTTGACAGAATCATTTGGAACTCTACCATTTTATCTTGCTTTTCTTTCTAGAGTAGAACATTTCTCTTTTCAGTATTTATTTTATTTTTTTAATAAACGATATTATCTCTTGCTTTTCTTTCTAAAGTAGAACATTTATCTACACTAAGGGAAATGGAGTGAGTTTAGTTTCACAATGGTCTAGCAATAATGTGATTCAAATTTGTCTTTAATAAGAATTGAACTTAAAACCTCTCACTTACAAATGAAAAAAAATATTACTAACCGTAGCATGACTTCTCTCTTCACTTTTTTATTCTTAGTTTTGATCCATGTTGTTTGAGAGGTTAAGCATATGTGGTACACTAGAATGCAACACATCAAACTATTATCTATATGATAATGGTCAACGGAAAAATAAATAGCAGGTGAAGATTCGATACAAATTTTTGTTCTACAAATTTAAATAAGCAAAATGTCAGGTAGTCGTAATAAAACGCCAAGCATAACAATGATCAAAGAAAATACAAGTCGAAAAGCTCGTCTAGGATTTTGACCGTACGAGTCGAAACACCAAGTATATTCAAATCAATTTTCCTTGCGTTTTAGCGCAACAAAAAACTGGATTGTTCTCCCTGACTCGATCATAAACCGTTGCTGTTCAAGCTTCCTACTGTACAAGTCGAAAAGCTCGTCTAGGATTCCTTCTCCAAAATGCTGCTTGATGAGTCCCTCCAAGATTGCCCTCAGATGAGATGCAAAGTTTGTCAAGACACTGTCATCTACGTTCATGTGAGGCAAATGTTCCATTCTCTCTATGCTAAAACATCCGTTTTGCTCTACAACGGCTTCCAGTTCTTGAGCAGACGTGAAATACACAGGTACATTGAAAGAATCTACTCTCTCTTCTGGAATAACACCCTGCATTGAGGAAGAACATCAACATATAGCAACAGTTGAACATATAGCGCAACTCAACAAAGAAAAATCGTGAACATAAATACGTGACATAAAATTCTCAAATTTTGTTTCACCTAGTATTACCTTTCTAACCATTTCCATTAGGCAAGCTTCTAAAAGTTGGAAGGTCGCACTTGCCAAATGACGGGTACCATTGGGGCGGCCTGGAATGATGAGTACCATCAGTCCTCCGCACACCATCTCTTGTGCCCTGGCATTCAGAAAGCACTCCATGTCCTCAGCATGTTGAGCTTCGTAAGCCCTTACTACTTCATTGGTTGAATTTGAGTATTCGATTCTCCCTTTGTTCCAAGCAGGACTGTTTCTGTCCGCTACATCTTTTGGCACTCTAGAAAGCCAATGAACTGTGAAAGAAGAGTGGAAAAAATGAATTGAAGCGTTAGGAAATATGCGACCATGGAAAGAACCAGGCACGCCGGCTGCATGGTATCGCCTGTTGCGAGGGAGGGCTTTGAAGAGCATGTTAAAATCATTCGCAGTGTGATCATTGAAGAAAACTTGAAATTCGGGGAATTGGGAATTCATCATATTAGATTGATACTTGAGCTGCACGGCCTCGAGTATGGTTTCGACCACAGAAAATGTGTTAGGCCCAACGGAGCAACCCAAATCCGCCATCCGAAAGGTGTTGGAAAATCGAAAAATTTCTATGTCAAGCTTTTCTGCAATTTCCTTGACTGTAAGTTGTTTGGCAAAATCCACATATTTTCCCTACAAAAAAGAGACCGAGCATGTTAATTTTATTTTAAAGGATTCGTAATTTACCTAATCCATCTGATTAGCAGTCACTAATTACAAATAGATTTGTAGATGTAGGACTAAATTAGTTTCGGTTTGGACTGCAATTCACACAACCAACAAAATTTACAGTTTTCAAACGGAAGAGGATCCTCTTTGTGGGATTCTAAAGATCCCCACATTCTAACTGTTTATCATACATTAGTTTTCGTCAGATAGTATTTGTATTTGTATTTAATTTTAAATATGAAAAGTCAAATAATTTCTGACCGCACGATGTACGATGAATGGTTAAGATGCGAGGATCCCTAGGATCCCCACAATTTGGATCCAAATCCTTTTCAAACCTCCACATTTTCTTTAATATAGAAACAACTTTATGTTAGAAATCTCACATCAGTTAGAGAAAGTAACAAAAAGAGTTTAGATATTTCAATCTCATTTCAATTAATATCGAGACTTTTTATGATAAAATTACACACTTGACGAATTATATAGATGATAATTATCAAATTAAAAACAATATTAATCTTGTTGAAAGTAAACCGTATTGCTTGTCTCTCTGATAAATCTACACTTTATAAGATAAACTTCAGCAATACATTCAGCCGCACTATAAAATAAACGCCGTCTTAATATCGTAGATCTCTTTTTTATATAAATATAAATATTTCATGAATGGAATTCCAAGATTAAGACTTTCTACGAAAAGATTAAATCTTTGGCTAGTCAATTAAATTTCTACAATTTTTTTTACTATGGACTGACCAACTCCATCTCTCCATCCACTTCACTTACAATAAAAGTAAAAATAAAAATAGTAAAAAAGAACCTGGATGGTGGAGTTGTTGGCATAGCTGTTGGGTCCATCTCCGCCGTTCATTGGAAATGCTTTGCAAAATTCCCTGCTGTCTTGTGCTGCTGCCATCTCTCTCTCTCTCTCTCTCTCTCTCTCTCTCTCTCTCTCTCTCTCTGCTTCAAATTTGTAAAGTGAAAAGATGGTCGTTTTCTTGTTCTTTTGACAGTGACAGATCCATCTCGCAAGATCTAAGGCTTTCCTCCTATCCTCCTACTCTCTCCTCTTCTCTTCATCTGAGCCGTTCGGATTTATTTGATGTAATCCAACGGGTCTCTAAACTGCCTCTCTCCGCTCTCTGTTTCACTCTCTCCTACTCTCTCCCTCTCTCCTTGCCCCGAACCCAGAATCATGAGACCTCATAACTGCTTTTCCCGTGCACATCTCGAGTTTATCGCCGAGCTCGCTGTCGAAAGGCAGTGCTTCTCCTCTGCTCAGATCCTCGGCTTCCTCAACTCCCAATATCGCTCTCGACCATCACCTTCATCCGCCGGGACATTGTCGGCAAACTCCACGATGCCAGCCAAAGCCCAGAAGACAAAAAATACCAATCTGCCAAAACCCAAATGAAATTTAGAAGCTTGTGAAAAATCCAGAAAAAAAAACGCATATGACAAACCAGAAGCTTTTTTTTTCGAATGAATGAAAAAACAATGGAATTTGAAGATGAAGGAGAACGTGGTGAAAAAGAATGGAATTTGGTCACGAGGGAGAAAGTAAAAGGAGAAAGACAGAGAGGCAGTTTGACGGGAAGGATAAAAAAATGAAGAGCATTTGAGAGAGAGAGAAAGAGAGGGTGTTCTAGAATTAAATATTATTATTTTTATTATTTTTGTTCTTAATTCGACACTACCCAAACGTTTGATTAAACTATTCGTAGTCTAAATCAGTCTAGCTTAATCTTTAAAATTAATCTAGTTTGAATTAGTTCAGTATAACTAACGCAGCCCAACTTCTAATGTGTTTTTCCTTTGGTAATTTTTTTTCTAATTATAAAAGGTTTAAAGATTAAAATAATTTTTTTTAATGTCAGTGATACTTCTCTTTTTTTTACATTAATCGTTTCTCATCTTTTTTTGTTTGTTTGTTTTTTTTTTTTTTTTTTTTGAGTCTTGTTTTTGATCAAACTTAGTTATAGTTATTTCCATGAAAAAAATACTAGTGCAAAGAAAAGAGGGTTCAAAAGACAACCCACAATCTAATACAAGCTCAACGTTTAAAAAAAAAATTAATAAAAATGATTTGAAAACTTTGAGTTTTAACGATAATGATAAAATAAAGGGTAAAATGAATAATACTATGATTGATTTTTTTAGTGTAAAAATATGATTTTTCGTTAAAGTTCCTTAAAAAAAATGCAAAAGAAAGGCCTATAAGGAGCCAACTGAAAAATAACAACAAAATCCTAAAATTAGAGAGGAAACCAGCATCCACCACCAAGTTAAACGTGCCTCCAGCGCAAGGCCACCACTAACAAAAAACGGGAGTGAGCGAGTCACTTGCACAATGAGTGCTCCCATAATCCTACCAAAGAATGCAAATAGCATTTTAACATCTGCCCAACACCCAAGCACATTGCCAAGGAAAAGCACCCGGACTGAATAGCAAAGGTTGGTGGTTGAGGATGCATGACGGAAATTAGCATCAAAGCAAGAGAAGGGCATGAAAGCCCATATCTAAGACAAGCTTATGTGAATTGGGATAAAGCTCGAGGAAATTCGAAGCACAGACCAAAAGTAAGGAAATGCATAAACTAAAAGGGAAATAGAGACAGAGGAGAAGTTGGAGTTGGAAAGGAAGGCTGGAAGGGGGTTGCCATCGACCACACCCAAAAGTAGGAGTCGGCGGCAAAGGGAGTTAGGGTTTTTATGCTTTCAGTGAGAGAGAAAAGGGCGAGAGTCATCAAGGGCCACGTTATATGGTATACAAAATTTAGTCTAAGTAATTGGTCTCCCCAGTATTACCAGAATTTGGGATAGAAAAAAAGGGCCACACCTAACTAAACTCAAATCAAGACATCAAGGTACAGCAAATCTAAGTCACATTCAAGGAAGGAAAATTGCTTGTAATTTGTTCTTCCTTCAAAATATTGCCCTGATCTTGGAGAACAACTCAAAAGATAAAGAAGTGTCGTTAATTTCTTCGCGCTAATGAGTAAAGTGTAGAGTTCATGAGAAGGAACCTGGCAAGTAGAGTTCATGGCATAGCAGTCCAGACCATCTCCGCCTTTCATCGGAAAACCTTCACAGAACTTGCTAGCTTCCTCTTCTGCTGTAATTTATATATGTTGGAGCAGTTATGTTTTTATTAATAATATATATGTTTATATATTTATGTTTTGTTTTATTACCAATATTATATACATAACGTTTTGTTTTATTATCATTATTCTATGCATAACAACCAATTGATTTTGACTTTTCAATGAGATAAGGAGTTACAGCTTTTTAATTTTGAAACATGCCATTGACTTTTCAATTAGATAAGGAGTTATCTCCTTTTAAGTTTGAAGGACGCCATTACTTCTTTGAATAGAGAAGAAAATCCTGACATGATACATAATCAAACCATTTTATTTGACTTACATTTTGATTTTGTCCTGCTTTCAATTCTCTCCAACCTTCAACGTCTCTTTATTCCAAATGTATATATAGTAGTCCCTGGAATCATTGGAGACACACGGAGAATATATATATATATATATATATATATATTTTTTTTTTTTTTTTTTTTTTTTTTTTTTCTGATACATAGTTTTGGGTAGCAACATATTGAGGGGGTGTGAGTTTGAAGGTTCTTTCACTGTGCAAGGAAGAACTTTATCAAAAGAAGAAGGTTCTAGGCTGTTGTATCCTGGGGACGACGTAATGTTTGAGAACTGCTTGCACGCTTTAGGCAGACTCGCGAAACGTCTTAAAGAGAGCGACTTAGTCCGCGATTCATCCCAAGAATCATTCACCACTCAAGGCTTCTACATTTTTCTGATAACTTCGTTCCTTTCTATTTCAGTTTTCAACAATATGTACTGGGGACTGATGAGAAGCTGCTATACGTGACATTAATCCATGCATTCAAGGTAAAAAGCTTTAACTATGCGACACATGAACTTCATGCCTAGGATAAGTCGGAGAAAAAGCTAAAAGTGCTCCTTGGTGTAAGAAGCACTTTCTGAAGAAGCACTTGTGAGATGCTGTTTTGGTAAGGCAGTTAGCTAGATTTTCAGCGAAAGGTTCAACGTGTTTGTATGAAACTAGGAAATTGAAGAAACGGTTGTGAACAGACGTGTTTCCTACAAAATCACCCCATAAAAGACAGAACGGTATAAACGCTTAGAAGATTACAACAGGAAATTGAAAAACAGAACGGTGGAAACTACATCATTTAGAAGCTAATGGGAAGATTATCCCATGACTCCAAACATAATATAAGTTCCAATCTCTAAGTCTTGCGTTTAAGCACAACGAGAAAGCTAATCGACTTTCCTGCATCAAAGATCGAGGATTGCTCTTCAATTTTCTTGCGGTATAAGTCAAAGACCTCGTCTAAGATTTCTTCTCCGAAGTGCTGCTTGACGACTCCTTCCATTGCAGCTCTCATGTGAGTCGCAAGCAGTTTGGCTTTAGAGACATTGTCCGGTGGTGCGAAAGCAGGTAAGTTCTCTATTTTCTCCATGCTAAAACATCCATTTCGTCCTACCGCAGCTTCCACTTCTCCGGGAGACATGGAGTACATAGGTAGGTTGAAAGAGTCTACTTTCTTTTCATCAACTATTCCCTGCATTAAACAAAAAACGCACAATTATTGTAAAATCGGATACAAAGTTCTCTTCCGTTTCTGATTTATAACATATTAGACTGTTTATGCGATTGCATATTTGTGTACCTTTCTAACCAAGTCAACGAGGCAAGATCCTAAAATTTGGAAGGTCATATTTGCCTGAGAAAGAGAATGAGGGGTACCATCAGGGCGGCCTATGATGATAAGCACCATCAGTCCTCCGTAAACAATCTCTTGTGCCCTGACATTTAAGAAGCACTCCATGTCCTCGGCGTATTGAGCTTCATAAGCCTTTAGTACTTCATCGGTCGAATTTGAGTAATGAATTCGTCCTTTGTTCCACACCGGACTATTTCTGTCTGCTACTTCTTTTGGCACTCTAGAAAGCCAGTGATTGGCATATGAGGAGTGAACAACTTGAACAGAAGCATTAGGAAATAGGCGACCGTAGAAAGAGCCAGGCACGCCCACTGCATAGTATCGCCTGTCCTGGGGGAGGGATTTGAAGAGCGTATTAAAATCATTCGGAGTATTGTCATTAAAAACGACTTGAAATTCCGGGATTTGAGCATTCAGCCCTTGGGTTTGGCACTTGTACTCCACGGCTTCAAGTATGTTTTGGACAGAATAAAATGTGTTAGGACCAACAGAGCAACCCAAATCTGCAATGGTAAAGGTTTTGGACGACGATAAGATTTCGATATCGAGGTTTTCTGCAATTGCCTTGCTTAGAAGTTCTTTGGTAGCATCCACAACTCCTCTCTACACAACAGAAGATTACTTTTATACCTACATAAATAAACACACATACACACATATACACAATCTAAGAATACTATACAAGAACCTGGAACGTAGAGTTTTTCGCATAGCCGTCAGGGCCATCTCCACCTTTCATTGAAAATGCTTCTGAGAATGTACTGGTTTCCAGTGCTGCCATCTCTCTCTCTCTCTCTCTCTCTCTCTCTCTCTCTCTGTTTTCTTGGAGGGGAGATGTTGATGGTATATTTGTATTGCATCATCACTGCTACTTGACACCAATCAAAGACAAAGAAAAATCAATTAAGAAATGTAGAAGAAAGTACAACTGCAAAAGTCCATGGTGGTGATGCAATTTCAGACCAACTATTCAACTTTTTCTATGTTTTTTTTGTTGTTGTTAAAGACTTTTACGTAACAACCCGTTCTGAAATTTACAAAAGAAAATGAGTATTTTTGTATTTTCATTAAGTTTGGGGAATAATTTTCTTTTTATTATTATTTTTGAGTCTTAATTGGTGAGCCCAAGCTGCCACCCCCTGTTTTGTCCCCCGGTTCCCTTTCCCTTTTCTTTTTTTTCTGAAAAGTCTCTCTTCTCTCTTCTCTCTTTCTTCCTCCGTGCTCTCTCCTTTCCCCCCCTCTCGTTGCTCTTTTCTCGGACAAGAACACACACACACCCAAGCCCACACCTATAGCTCTTTTCTAACCCCGTGGTTGTGTTTTGGACGTCAAACCATGAAGAAACCACCTAGGAGACATTTCCCAGTTTTCCGGCGAGCACCGCCCCTTTCGAGGCAATTTCCAGCCAAACCACAGCGAGTTGGCCGGCGTGCAAGGTATCAATATCTTCGTCTCGACGAGTACTACAACTTTCCTTTTTGTTTCACCTAATTTCATTGAGTATTGAAGAAGTTATGCTCATTTGAATCTTACCCAGTTTCCGGCGGACACCCGTGGCTTCCAGGCTGTTTTCCGGCCAACTCCGGCCACAATGACGAAAACTAAGGGTATATTTCGATTCCTTACCTTCGGGGCTTCAATTTGGTATATTGAATGACATGTTTTGGTTGAGTTTTGAGCTCCATCGGAGCTTGGGAATTCTTGTCCGGCCTTCTCCTTCCTTTGAATCCGGCGAACCAACAAACCCAAAACCTTTGGGCCTTTCCTGCCAAGCCCAAAACCTGGACAGCCCAACCAAACCTTTTTATTTATTTTATTTTTGTTTTGTTAATTTAAAGGCCTTTGGGCCGTTTCTTTTAAAGCCTCCGGCCCATTAACCCTAAAACCCATTAGATCCAAACCCTTAGGCCCAAACCCGGATCCAACCCAAGTCCAAACCCTTTAACCCAATCCGGATCCAAACCCAGACCCGTTTGGCTTGTTGACCCGGACCCGGTCAGACAGTTGACCCGGCCAACGGTCAGCGTTGACTTTGACTTTGACTGGTCAACGGTCAACGTTGACTTTAACCGTTGACTTTTTGGGTTTCGTGCGGGACCCCATCTAGGCTAATTTCAACGTCCTGAATCCGTTTCCGATGTCTGTTTCCCTAAATTCAATCGTTTGAGTAGAGTTTGACTAAATGTACCCTTTATGTGCTCATGGGCGATTATCTGTGGCGTTTCAACGGCGAAGTACTGTGAGTGGACCCCTTCTGAAAATGCATGTTTTGATAATATAAATGCATACATGAAAAACATGATTTGATGATTATGTTTTATGAAACGTTTTACGAGATAACATGCTTACTGAGGTTAGTTTGAATTATTACTATTTTTCCTATAACCCATGTTCTTATAGAATATCTGATGGATGACGATATAATATTTAGAACATGTTTAGAACACCTCTTTATAGTATAGACGATGCATGACTTTATACTATGAAGTTAATTTTCAATATATGTATGTTCACTGGTTTTGTACTTACCTAGTGGTCTTTTCCGCTACGGGACGTAGGGATAGATCTGGTCTGTCCCGAACGACGGTTTGGTGTTGGCATAGGGCCTGAAGTGTGTTTTTCTCTGACTGCTTGCTCAGAGACGGGGAGCCGGCATGGGGCCTGAAGTGTATTTTCCTCTGACTGTCTGCTCAGAGACGGGGAGCTGGCATGGGGCCTGGAGAATTGTATCGGACATTCACTAGTGTTTATTATATTTACATGTTATGATTTGAGATATTGCACGACATGCTAGGTTTCGGAAAACCTATGTTTATCATTATATATATGTGTTTTCATAAAATCTGGGGGTTAGTATGTTGATAACTGTTTTATTATATATATATATATATATATATCAACTTGGTCCACTCATGTTTGTTTTGCGCCCCCTTCGGGACTTAGAATCGAGGCATACAATCTCGACATCCAGGCACTTCCGCATCGGCATCTTCAAGTCCTCTTGGTGTAGGACCCACTCGTTGATTTCATTCAATTTTATATTATTTTGTTTTAGTTTTCTAGATTAGTGGTGTACTCTGAACACGGTCCTTATTTGCATATTCATTATTCTTTTATATTTATAAACCTTATTTATCCTTTGTTTTCAGTTTTTACACTCAATAAATGGCTTTCGCCACCCTCGGGTGTCGGCCAGCACGTGTCTATCCTGGTATTCGGGGAATATCGGGGTCGGGACGTGTCATTTTATGCATAAAATCGAATAATATCTTATCTATGGTATAATTAACAATTGAAAAAGTCCTAGATGGAATTGCATCTCCGTCCCTGGACTGCCTCTATATACTCATGCCATGCGGACTTACCTACAACACGTACGTCACATGGCTGTATCCCAAATCAATAACACGATTTCATTTGTAAAAGTCAATACGTGACATTACTTGATTCGGTACGTTTTCCAATCTCTTGTGGCTAAAACATCTGTTTTGTTCGACAGCAGCTTCCAGTTCTTCAGGACACATGAAGTACACAGGGATGTTAAAGGAAAGCACATAGCAAGAATAATAAGGAACTAGCTCGATCGATCGAGTAGTACAAGATCAAGTATGTGACTGTTGACTCTAAAAATTACAAAACCTACGTGGCGCGCAGGCCGAGTAACTAATAAGCTAACTACGTCCTTCGGTTGAGTGCAGGATATGCCAACTCATCGGCCGAGTTCGGCCGAGGAGTAAAATTTGTTGATGTCGCGTTGTTGACTTCTCTATCTTGCGATTGCAACCGAGGAAGGAACACTCTCGGTCTCTGGGTTCTATAGCCTGAAGACAAGGCTACTAATTCTGCGGAGTTCACAAATCTTTGGGGCCCGATTCAGTCACTGTGATTATATTCGTAAGAGTATAAGCACGTCGAATCGAGACCAAACTGTATGGGCACAGGTATTCAAACGTGATGTATGTCTTGATGGTAAAGGTAGTTCGGCCGTCGGAGTGCCGAACCCTGAAACTTACTTGCGAGTATCCAATCATAAAATCACTTAGCGTCCAGTACGCCGAGCAACACAATTCATAACACCTGACTATGCTGAGAAGGCTAGCAAGGTGACCTCTACCAATAAGGGTTCGAAATACCCTTCTCAGCCGAGACTTAGATAGGTAATCGGTTGGCTTTAAAGCAGTGCTGTTTATCCAAACTGAAGGTGCTCGCCGAGTGCCTCCACAGTGCTGTTTATCCAAACTGAGGGTATGTCGATAGAAAAGAAAAGGAAAAATCTCAAGGTGTTTAAGAGGTTTTGCGCAGGGCAATTGTATGCTGGATTGAAGGGGGCTTTTCTGTTGCATGATTTCTTGTATTTATAGCACCCCATTCCTTGTGACCGATTTGCATTCTGATCTAGATTGGGAGTCCTTGTCCCGTTTCAACTCTAACTCGAACAAACCTACTCCCACTGGGATTCTGAATTTTTCTTCCTTTCGAGGCTTTATTCTTTGTCGGTCGGGAATCCTGATCGCACCAGGACTCCTTTGATCTTTTCTATTTATCCGGATTACTTAGGATAGGATGTGACCGATCCTGCCAACAGGCCCAGGATTTATCATTCGGCCCATAGTATGAAATAACCTTGGGCCGAGCACATCCTGCTGCTCGGCCCAACAATATTATTTTGGGCCCAAACAGTGACACATGAACTTCATGCATAGAATGCACAGGGACGTTAGAATTCGAAAGTTCTAGAGGAGATCAATGTCTAGCATTAACTGAAGCATAACTTTTGATTGGCTTATCAATGCGTTGCGGATGTGATAGATGATTCATTTTAATCGGAAAGTATTTTAACAGCTTGACGAATACCAGAAAAGCGTGTTCAAATCAATTTTTCGTGTGCTTAAGAACAACAGGAAGGTTAATTGCCTTCCCAGACTCAAAGATGGATGGTTGCTCTTCGATTCTCTTGCGATACAAATTAAAGAGCTCGTCTAAGATTTTGTCTCCAAATTGTTGCTTCACGAGTCCCTTGGTGGCAGCTCTAACATGAAATGCAAGTAACTGGCTACTTTTAGTAACATTGTCAAGTGATGGGACACGACGTAAGTTTTCCATTCTCTTTGAGTCTCTACTAAAACAACCATTTCTCTCCACAGCAGCTTTGAGTTCTTGGGGAGACATGTAATACAAAGGTAGATTAAAAGAAGGGGATCTACTTTTTCTTCCCTAACTACTCTCTGCATAAAGGAAAAACACATAGAAGTCATTCCGTCGGATACATTATGGTGTTATATAATCAATCTTAGAGCAGGGGGTCATTTTCTAACCTTCCTAGCGAAGTCCATGGGGCAAAACCGGAGAAGTTGATGAGCCTGGTTTCACGAAGAAAGTGTATGAGGGGCATCATTCGGGCAGCATGGAATAATAAGCACCATCAATCCTCCATGCACAATCTCTTGTGCCCTGGCATGCAGGAAGCATTCCATGTCCTCAGCATGTTGAGCTTCATAAGCCCTTACGACTTCATCAGTGGAATTTGAATAAAAGACTTGTCCTTTGTTCCACACATGGCTGTTTCTGTCCACTAACTCATTCGGCACTCTAGAAAGCCAGTGAAGGGCATAAGAAGAGTGAACAAAGTGAATGGAAGCATTGGGAAATATATGAACCTAGAAAGATCGGGTACGCCTGCAGCATAGTATTGCCGGCTCGGAGGGAGGGATTGGAAGAGCATGTTAAAATCATTTGGAGTGTGACCATTAAAGAAAATTAATAGAATACCATCAATTGTATTTGGAGGCAAAGGTTTACAAACATCATTTAAACAAGAGCATCGATTTCTTCGTTCACAAGGCGAATCCAACAAATTTTTAAGGCAAAGGAAGTTTTAACTATAGCTTGACAAATACCAAACTTCATCGCATCAATTTGCCTTCCGCTTAAGAACGGCCAGAAAGTTAATTGCAGTTGAAGTTCCCGATGTAAGGATAGAGGGTTGTTCTTCAAGTTTCTTAAGGTACAAGTCAAAGAGCTCATCTAAGATTTCCTCTCCGAAATGCTGCTTGATAACTCCCTCAAAGGCAGCTCTCACGTGTGATGCGAGTTGGGTTAAAGGGACAGTGCGAGGAATCGGCACTTGAGGTAATGTTTCCAACTTCTCTAGATTAAAAAGTTCATTTCTTTCTACAGCAGCTTCCAGTTCTTGGGGAGTCATGGCGTACAGAGGTACGTTATATGCATCTACTTCCTCTTCACTCACTACTCCCTGCACACATAGCAGCGATAAAGGAAATGTCATTCACAATTGTAGGCAGCGCAAGAATTGAAGTATCATTTTTTGTTGTTGTTGCTGGTTAAGTTATATAGAAGTTATTTCATATGACAACACATATCATTGCTTACCTTTCTAGCCATGTCCATGAGGCAAGACCCTATAAGTTGAAAGGTCACATGTCCCATTGAATTCGAATGAAGGAGAGTATTGGGGTTGCCTGGAATGATGAGTACCATCAATCCTCCTTCTGCAATCTCTTGTGCCCTGGCATTTAGAAAGCACTCCATGTCCTCAGCGTGTTGAGTTTCGTAAGCCTTTAAGACTTCATCAGTGGAATCTGAGTAATGGATTCGTCCTTTGTTCCATGCCGGACTATTTTTGTCCACTACCTCTTTTGGTACTCTAGAAAGCCACTGAAGGGCATAAGATGAGTGAAAAAAGTTAATAGAACCATTAGGAAATAGGCGGCCGTAGAAAGAACCAGGCACGCCTGTAACATAGTATCGCCTGTTCTGCGGGAGGGAGTAGAAGAGCTTGTTAAAATCATTGAGAGTATGATCATTAAAGAAGACTTGAAATTCAGGGATTTGTGAGTTCAGCCCTTGGCTCTGATACTTTAGTTCAACAGCTTCGAGTATGTTTTCAACAGACAAAAAAGTATTTGGCCCGACCGAGCAACCCAAATCGGCAACGCGAAAGGTGTTAGAAGATAACAACACGTCTGTGTCAAGCTTTTCGGCAACTGCCTTACTTATAAGTTCTTTTGCAGAATCCACGGCTCCTTTCTGCAAAAGTGCAAAAACCCCGTCAACATATTTATTAATCTATTTGCTACATGTTAATATAACCATACATAAAATGCGTCAATCTTAGTAAACATTGAGATGAAATCGTTATCGGAGTTGTTAATTGCTGCTTCGCAAGAGATCATCAAAATCTTAAGTAACAGAATGAGCTTTACCAAAGAACGGTTTTCGCAACTGGATGTTTAAACAAGAAAGTGAATCCACATTACCTGCAAAGTTGAGTTGTTGGCGTAGCTGTTGGGACCATCTCCACCGCTCATCGGATGTGCTTCGGGTTCAGAGAAGTTACTGGTTTCCTCCTCAGCTGCAGCCATCTCTCTCGGTTTCTTTCTCTGGGAGAGAGGGGTTTTATGTCAATATTGTATCTTGAGGGGCATATATAGAGATAATCAAAACACAGAAAAAAATCAATTAAAAGCAAATTTAATAGTTAATGGTAATGAAGCAGTGTAAGACAAATTGGACGGCTAGCTTAATAAAATACAATGCAATTACATGTGAATCCAAAGGTTTTCAAACAGATTTAATATATTTTGCAGGCTAGAGAGTATCTCGCTCCTGCAGCGAATTTTCGGTTACAAGGGGAATCTGACATTTCCATCTCGTCCTTCCAAGCCATTGGAGCTAAGTATCGTGAAATTCACACTTTGTTTTTGCTACATATTTAATATATTTTTCAGGCTAGAGAGTATCTCTCTACTACAGCGAATTTTCGGTTATACAAGGGGAATCCGACATTTCCATCTCGTCCTTCCAAGCCACTTGAGCTAAGTATCGAGAAATTTACACTTTGTTTTTGCTACCGTTAGTTTTTTTCGTCTGACTTTTATACCTAGATTTTTGAGGTTCTCCTCTTGGAGGTGGGATATTAAAAGGAAGAACACAAAAGGATGAGAGAGAGCACCCATGACAACGTCTTATTTCTTTAATTTTTTTGTTTTTATTTTGCCAAAAAGACAATTTAATTTCTTTAACAAATACATAACTACAATTTTACATGTCAATTATTCAGTCGTGAACAAAACACTAAGCATAACAAAGAAACTCAAGAAAATTTAAATGTAGCAACTTCACAAACACCAGAACACCGTAACGCTCAATTTGCCTTGCGTTTAAGCACAGCAAGATAGATAATCAGCCTCCCTGACTCATACTCGAGGCGTTGCTCTTCGAATTTCTTGCAACACAAGTCGAAGAGCTCGTCTAAAATCTCATGGCCAAAGTGCTGCTTGATGAGCCCTTCTATGGCAGCTCTGATGTGAGATATGATTAGTTTGCTAATAGAGCCACTGCCTTGTGGAAATGGCAGATTTTCAATTCTCTCCACGCTGAAGCATCCGTTGCGTTCTACAGCAGCTTCCAATTCTTCCAGTGACATATAATATATCGGTACGTTAAACGAATCTACTTTCTCTTCACTAACCATGCCCTGCAGTAGGGAAAACTAGAATGTTAGTAAAGTTCAATTAAAGATATGTCATCTTACAATTTTTCATCTGTCACATATTAAATATGGGATAATAATGTTTGAAGTCGCAACTTATTTTCATTACCTTTCGAACCATCTCCGTAAGACAAGATTCTACTAGTTGATGGGTCCCGTTTCGCGCTGCACGAGGATGAGAGGTTTCGTGAGGGAGGCTAGGGAGGCCTGGAATGGTAAGTGCCATCAGTCCTCCATGCACAATCTCTTGTGCCCTGGCATGGAGGAAGCACTCCATGTCCTCGGCATGTTGAGCTTCGTAAGCCCTTACTACTTCGTCCGTGGAATTTAGGTAATGGATTCGTCCTTTATTCCAAGCAGGGGAGTTCTTGTCTGCAACCTCTTTCGGCACTCTAGACATCCAATGAATGGTAAAAGAAGAGTGGAAAAAGTGAATCGAAGCGTTAGGAAATAGGCGACCATGGAAAGAACCAGGTACGCCCGCTGCACAGTACCGCCTGTTTGGTGGGAGGGAGCGGAATAGCATGTTAAAATCATTCGAGGTGTGATCATTGAAGAAGACTTGAAATCCGGCAGGGATTTGAGAGCTCAGCCCTCGGCTTTGATACTTGAACTCTACAGCTTCAAGTATGTTTTCAACCGCGGAAAATGTATTAGGACCGACAGAGCAACCAAGATCCGCAACGCGAAAGGTACTACTGGAAGATAACAAGATTTCTACGTCAAGCTTTTCGGCAATTGTCTTGCTTAGAATTTCTTTGCCAGCATCCACTAGTTGTCTCTGCAAAACCAGAGATTGTGAGACATGATTATATAGCAGTTACTTCGTTTTGGAACCATAATTTGTATTGAAAGACATCGAAAATTCATCAGTCCACAAAATTAACAACAGAAGAACCTGGTAAGTGGAGTTCTTGGCATAGCTGTTGGGACCATCTCCACTTTTCATTGGAAATGCTTCAATTAGCTCCTTTGATGCAGCCATCTCTCTATTACTCTCCGTTTTCGTGCGGTTGGAGTAATGGCACATATTGTCCCCTCGGGGTTGTTATAAATAATAATTATATCTAGTACAGCTGCTTGATATTAAATTAATTAAGACTAATTATCGTCGTTTATGACAAATTTTTTCGTCGTTTTCCAGTTAGCTGTTTCTTTTTAAAGACAAGGACAGAAATCCATTCGATTCGTTGAATTAAAGAGGAAGAATTTTTACCAATTTTTACATTTTATACTGCCAGCATTGCACAATTGGAATTCATCCATTTTGTTTCATATTCTGTGCTGTCTGACTTTACCAGGTGGAATTTTAACTTATGGGCAACATCAAGGGAGAGGCAGACAACATAAACTACGTAATTTACCCATGGTAGTTATATGATTCCGACCACAACTTCGACGCCTTGCCCATGCCGGAGGGAAGTTCGAGACAGACAGCTGCCCGATGCGCATTCTAAGCAATATTTGCGCTTGAGAAGTTTGGGGAACGTGGTGAAAGAGACTAGTCAAATCTTTTAAAACATTAAAATTTGCCTCTATTGTAATTTTTCTGTGAAATTAGGTTATCTTCGTCCATTCAAGTTGAGAATACTAGCTATGAGACAAAAAAATGATAAATTTGAAAAACATTAGGAGTTAAAAACCAAACTGAAAGTTGCTATATGACAATGAGTAACCATCTCATGTACGACAGATATAGGTCACTTCCAACAAAGAAAGAAAAATAAAATAAAATGTTTCAAATTTTGAAAAAGAAGAATTAAAGTTGGAAAATGTTGGATTCATTCAATATGGCGACATAAAAGGCAACAACAAATATTATGGTGTCAAAATTGGGACCGTGACGCGGTCATAGAAGTGGTGTTCAATTCTCCTACAAAAGTGGCTTGAGCCATCTTTTGCATAAACTTGTCAACAATAGCAATTTACTAATAAATAAAGCTTTTTATTATTTGTCTTTTGGGGTTCCAATGGCTTTATTATCTATCTTCTAGTTTTCGTCTTAATTACCTAAGTCTTTTGAGATGCCCCAAGGGGTTGTAATTTGTTTATTTAAACAATCTGGCTTCTCATTTGTAAGCATCTTTCATCTTTCAATCATTTATCAAATTATCCTTTGGAATTTTCTCAACTTTCTGGTGGACTGCAAACTTTGTTCTATAAGGGATTACACGGTAACCCTTTTATCACTTCGTGTTGCGTCACCATCTTCATGAGAAATTCTAAATTTTTATTAAGCTAGCAAGTGAACAGTGTTAAAAAAACTTAACAAAATTTTTGTTAAACTAGCAAGTGAATAATGTAAAAAAAAAAAAAAAAAGCACTATTTTAGCAACTATGTTTAACTTTTCATCACCAACATCACTCTCTATTTTTACAAACTTTGAATATTTATATTAACAATTCAAACTCAACCTACTCATTTTCTAAAAAACCTTCTCTCTCTTCATTTTTTTCTTTGCTCAAGGGTCCACCCCTTGAGTTTTATTTTTATTAATATTTAGTTGATGAATAATTGCCACTGTTCTAAAAACCCTATCTTGGATTAGGCGGCCGGTCACCGTTCCGATTAATCCCTAATTGTTTGAAAATAAGAAATGACATCCATACTTGCTTAGGCGCTGCTTAGTCCGCCTAGGAACCCACCTAGGTCACAACTCTTACTTAGACAGGAAATAAAATACTTTCATTTTGTACTTTATTTTTCAATAAATTGTACAAGATTTGTTCAATACTTGAATAAGCACTCATTATATGCTTGTTCCCCCATGTTTTCAATATGTTCTAATACTTTTAATCTATATGTCATTCTATTTTGCAATTTATGTATTCAACACAATATAACAAGCCCATGGGTTAGGCCTTGTTTTTCACTTTTCCTTCTTAGCCCAATAATTGGGTATATAATCTGTTAACCCATTTACTTCTCCTTTGTTGCCTAGCAACCCAACAACCACTATCTTGACCCTGCAAGCCACGACAGCCCCATATTTTGGGTCGTCACTCATTCTTTTCACATATAGGTCCCGAAGCTCTTCTCGTTCACTACATATGTATATTGTGTTTGTTTGCAAGTATCATGAACCTAGAGTTCGTTCTTAAACTCGAACTTGAAATTTTGAAAATAAGTGCCATAGAAATTCGAAGTTTCATAAAACAATACACCCGTAAAAATCCGGAGTTCTTGTAGGTGATTTATTAGGATTACATGTAGATGATACTTTTAAAAACAACTGTAAAATTTAGTTTGTGCAAATTACTTTATTGTCCATAATTTTATTTTGTGATAGAAGACAAAAATATTTTTTTCACCCTCTTATAGTTGACAAAAAATAGTTTCATTAATATGTGTTTTAAATTAACTTCTTCCTTACAAATCTGTTATGTGTAAATAAACTAACTTGAAATAGATCCAATTTTATGGAAAAAGATCCTCTTCGAATCCCTTCCACCAAATCCACCCAATCAATCAATCCATGCCCTTGAAATTTGATCCAACGGCTACAAACAGGGAGTCCCTTTAAAAGTTATAATAACTTTAGCCGTTGGACTAAATTTCAAAGGTCCGAATTAGTTGATTGGGTAGATTTGGTGGAAGGCATCCGGAAATGATCCCTCTCCCAATTTTATGGCCTAACAATTAGATTAGTCCAATTTTTAGTTATTTTTTTAATTAGGTCCATGAATAGGACTCCATGTATCAACACTTTTTGCTGTTAGGTTGATACTTTGTATTGTGATTACTATTTTACTCTACTATAGCTATTCAATGGAAAAAGAAAAAAAAAAGAAAAAAAAAAAGAAAATCATACGATCGGTACTTTGCTAGCAATTCTCTTTGAAAATAATCGCTTAAAAGTTAGCGACTAATAGCCTTAAATGTCGCTATCTTCATACCGATCCCTCCCTTTTCAGTTTTTTTTATTTTTTTTATTATTTATTTTGTTAATGTTTCTTTTATTTCTCTTACCATAACAACAAACTATCATATTCGTGTTTTTCAAAATATATTTTTTCCGTGCAAAATATATTATAATTCATTTTTAAACACTTGTAATCAATGATTTAAAACCTAAATTTAAAGATATTTTTCTATTTTCTCACTTTAAGAATCAATAAAAAATAGTTTCAAGACCTAATAATCGGTAGAATCACATCCAAAGGTTTTGCAATATTTTCCTTAACTCCAGCGCAAAATATTTCTTAAAGCTAAAAATTTCAAAATTTTTTTTTTCACAAAAAACTGTGTACTATAAGCCAAAGTTAGAGTCATTTTATTCACATCACATATTTCCTAAAATTAATTTAGGACATTTCCAAAATTTCGGACACCTATAAATCTTTTTTTTTTGGGGGGGGGGGGGGGGGGGGGGCTTGCTATTAGTTATATTTTTTTTCTATTTTTTTTTAAACTCAGGTACCCTATTAGTTGGCATAAACCCAGATTTCAGCTGATTTTTTACAATCTAAACTACCTATCATATAAGTACTTTTACAGTCTAAACAACTTGTCATATAATTACTTGTACAAGCTAAACTACCTATCATATTATAATATTAGTCGGCATAAACTTATATTTCAACTGATCTTTTATAATCTAAACTACCTATTATATAAGTACTTTTACAGTCTGAACTACCTGTTATATAAGTACTTGTACATGCTAAACTACTTATCGTATTGTAACTACCTATCATGGTGGAATGAGTAATTTTACATGATTCTAACAGTAAGATGTAGTCCTTCATCTTGGTAATGTTAAAAGCCCCTGAAGCTAACACTATCAATGTCAAAAGCCTCTTGAGCAATTACTTACATAAGACAATCAATGTATAATGCTCGCGAATCATGTAGACTAGAATGATGTAACAAATACTAGCAAAAACGAAAACAACTCAACGAAAACATGTAAAATTACTTGTAGTTCTCATAGTTTCATGCGAATTCAAATTTGGATACTAATCTGCAGGAATTGCGAGGAAAATTCAAAACAGGAGTCGGATAGAGTTTTTGATGAAATGACGAGATTTGATGAGTAACTTTTTTTTTAATACAACGATATATTTTACACTAAAAAGGATGAGAGTTTTTTTATGAAATGATGAGATTTGATTTGTAATTTAAAGTTCCATGTTAATTATGGAAGAGTCATGATAAAACTTTGAACGACAATTGATGCAATTTTGTTTTCAAATTATGGACACTTTAATTGCTCTACTTATTAGACTGTGCAATACATTAGACCCATATCAAAACATACGGATCAAGATCCTCTCCTAAGCAAAGGGTGAGGATCCTCCTGACCAAGCCTATCGAGTCGTTGAAATTTTATCCAACAGCTACAAACAGGGGGTCCTCTAAAAGTTATAATAATTGTAGCCATTGGATAAAATTTCAACGGCCCGATGAGCTTGGTCAAGAAGATTCTCACTAGGGATGGGCAAATACCCATTGGTTATGGGTAATCGCGGTTATCCGCCCATTTAAATTTGACGATTAGGGTTATGGGTAACCGTTTAGATAAATAAATGGTTATGGGTATAACCGTTTACCCGTGAAATTTAAATGGACGGTTATGGGTATTATCCGCGGTTATAAACGGGGACCCATTTAACCGTTTATTTTAATATATGTAAAACTAAAAATAAAAAAATAAAAAAATAAAAATTAGTTCCTAACTGGGTTTAGTATCCGGAGATATATTTGGTTATAAAAGGTCATATAATATATATATATATATATATATATATATATATATATATATATATATATATGCATGCCTCACTTGAGAGAAAAATATAGTTGATAGAACGAGCTAATATTTAATATATGTAATTGAATGTTCTAAAGCATTAGTGTTTGACAATTTTGTTTTGAAGTTTTTTGGAGTTTGACCAATTCAAGATAATGATTATCTTGAGTATTTAGAAACATATTATTATTAGATTATGCGTACCTATACATATATATATATATATATATTTTTTTTTTTTAATTGGCCTCAAGTTTTCAATAAATATTTGACCCCAAAATTAGAAATTGATTAAATGGCATGGATCGATGAACATATGTTTCTAAATAAAAATCCAAATATTTATCAAATTAGCCTATTAGCAGACTGATGCGTTGCTTATATATATATATATATATATATATATATATATATATGTATGTATGTATGTATGTACACAAGAATATTAATTAACCTACAACCATGCATGATTCTTGTAATAGATTGACCGTCAAATAATTGAGAGACATCACACATATTCATAAATAATATTGCTGTTAATATAAAAATACATGTTAAATGTACTCATAACGGTATTTAATAATTAGAAAAAAGAAAATTATGACAAATTTCTTTTTAATTTTCAAGTTGTTAAAAAAATAGGTAGACGGGTAAAAGAAAAAAGTAAACGGGTACGCGGTTATGGGTAAATGGATATGCGGTTATGGGTAAACGGTTATGGATATGGGTATACCCATTTATGTAAATACCCAACGGGTAAACAATTATGTGAGTAAAATCTTAAACAGTTATAGGTAAATAACCGCGATTATCCGTCTACCATAACCGTTGCCTATCCCTAAGCCCGGGACACCTGCCGCAAAGTACTGCTTGTCTCGGGGGAGAGTGGCGAAAAGATAATTGAAATCATTCGAAACAAGGTCACTGAAGTGTACTTGAAATTCTGGTACTTGAATTGTAGTGTGCTGATATTTTTGAGCTACTGCATCAACTATGTTCTTGACTTGAATGAACGTTTTGGGTCCAACCGAACACCCCAAATGGGCAATCCGGAATGCGGTTGAAATCGAAGAGTGCTGCGGATTTTCTATGTCGAGGTTTGCGAATATTGCTGGAACCAATCTTCCAGACGTTATAACATCAGCTGCCTTTCTCTACAAGACATTGACAATTAACACAATAGTTAGTTTCTCAATGATCAACATACGTACGTTTTTTTTTTTTTTTCAAGCAACATTTTAGACTTCGTTCATCTAAATTATTGAGAAGAGAATTCGAACTCTGGTGTAAATTACGAGCACAAACCCTAAAAAACTTTGATAAGCTCGGATTTGCATACATACATGTTCACTTCGTTCAGTTATGTACATGTCTTGTAAAGTATTTATGCATGATCCGAATGGTTCAGAAAACACAACAGTCAAACGAAAAGCTAGTGTTTGATGATCGATACTTACACACATGGGAAATTAATAATTCGTAGCTAGCACGGTAAACATACAGCATGACTCGGTTCGCCGGAGATTGCCCGGAGACATTCCTGTAAATTAGAATTTTTGGCGTAGCTGTTTGGGCCATCTCCTCCCATCATATGAAATATTTCATCTTCCATCTCTCTCTCTCTCTCTCTCGGAAATGAAGTAGTCACCGAGAGAACGCTTAGAACTACCGAAGCATTGGAGGTGAACATGTGCATATATAATATATGTATATATAATGATACTTGGTTTTCTCTGTGGATTTAGTCACAAATGCCATGATGAAAATTATTCAATCAATTCAAAAGATAAAAATAAACAAAAGTGTGGAAGTGAGGCCAACAATGTTGCACATTGCTTGGCAAAATATAGCTTGACAGTAACCAAACCTTGACGTGGGTTGAAGAACTGCCAGATATTATCTTAGATTCTCTATTTGAGGATAGCAACTCCATCTTGTAATTTGGTACGGAACGCTCTTTTTCTCTTATACTGGGTTGAAATCCCTTACAAAGTTTTTATTGAGGCCCTTAACGACGTGCAACCTTATTCTTAGCATTGTATGTATTCCCTCATTATTAATGAATATCGTAGTACTTCTCAAAAGAGAAGACATGAATGAAGCTTTGTGAGTAAAGAGAACGAATTAAACAAAAACTTGAAAAATGGAAAAAATTAAATTTCAAGTTATTTTTAGTCTTCAGTTTATGTAGCATTCCATATACGAAAAACGTAATATCCACGCAACCAGATATAGACGAAAAATTCATAAATATATCGGCAAGAGAAAAATTGTCTAACTATAAAAGTTCATGATGATGATTGACTAAAATTAAAATTCAAGAAGAAAAATAGACATTAATGACAAATTTAGGGGAGGAAATCCACAAACACCTCAAAATTCTTGAGTCTCGGGCATCTTTCTTATAACCAATCTTCGTCTCTTATTTTCTCATATGTTTTCCCCCTATCTCTAAGACCAGGACTGTAAGATTTCTATAGATCCGAGTGCGTGTGAGTTATCCTCCTTCACAACCCCAAAACAAAGAAGAGAGTGGAATATAGTTAGTCCCTCTGTCGTCGTCCACGAGAAGATATGTCGTGAAGCAAATGAAGCAAAACCCAACAGCCGACCATGCCCAATCAACCCATCATGGACATTGGGCAGTGCGTAGTGCGCAGTGGTGGTCATAAGAGAACCTTCTTCTACTTTGTCTAAGCATCAACCAAAACCCCACTTCAACAATTCACCATCCTAAACCACTCGAAAATGATTAGATAAAAACTAGTGCCAAGCTACCTGATTATGACAACTCTCAAGCTGCGTCGGATGAGATCAAAAATACAAAAACATCGCGCTTTTGTGAGGGCTCTCAACATATGCCTTGATCCAGTGCCTCTACGCTCACGAAGATGCCACAACATAGAAGTCGTCTATGGCGTAGCTTAAATTAGTGTCCACTCCCACCATTTCTCCCTCGAAATCCAACGATGTTCCACACCATAGGAGACCGCTCTCCGACTACACTTGATTTTAACCATAATGAACTCGACTGATCTTACGGAGTTGGTACAAAGCAGAAATAAAATCCACTGATCAATCAGAATTTTCATCGAGATCTATTAACCCAGTAATGGGAGACTCGATTCAATACTACTACTTTACACCCATCAAATTAAAAAAAATGTCGACGTACCCTGCAAGAGCTCACTCCAGAGCACATACGTACCCAACAGCACTATATGACTGCGTAAATCTACGAACTATATTAACCCGGTATCAGAGTCCATACAATTTGAGTTGTAGGTAATGCTGCGCTGACTTCAAACCCATCAAGCTGCTGCGCAGTCCATCCTACTCACCCAGCTCTACCAATCAACAAGCATTAGGTTATCATGGGATCGGAAATTCCAAAATACAGAAGAATTGTAAGTGTTGGATGCAAATGCAAACGCAACTCGTAGCAAAATCCGGTAATATATGGGCAGCTAACACTTAGATGCAAACACAATTATAAAATTTGGAAGAGAGACAACGTATGCGGGAAAATAGCATTCGAAAAGCCTTACATTCAGACCAAAATTGTTTTAAGCACTTGAATTGTTGCGGTAATTTGATGGTTGGTCAATCACTTTTCCAACTGCAATAGTTTTTCCTGCAGAACGTAGAAATAACCTTCACTACAACATGCCAAAGACATCCTAGATGTATAAAGAGAAGGGCCCAGGCAAGATATTTAGTACCTTCAGTACGAAGAGTAAACCTCCCAAGTTGTGGAAAGTCCGCAAACTTCTCAATGCATATCGTGTTGCTGACCTGCAGGAGCACATGTGCCCAAGGTAAGTGAACTAAGAGTCACACAGATGTCCATAAATCATTTGCTCTACTCTACTACGTTTAAAATTTACCATCTCTCTTTTTTTAAGGGGGGTTAATTACAAAATTACGACGAAACATACCTGAATCTTGCACACAACAACAGCACCATTCTTGACAAAACGAATATGCTTTTTCATAGGTTTCTTCGTCTTCGGATCAATTTGACTTACAAGCTCAATAATCTCACATTCTTCAACAATTGAGTGAATATGCAGGACAGCTTTATAACCAGCCGTCAAAATTGCCTAATGAGAAGTATGGAGGGCTTCAGATAAAATACACACATGTTCACCAACCAAGATCATATGAGAGAGAGAGAGAGAGTTCCTACATTGTCAAGCAGTTCAAGAATCTGCAACTGGGCGAAAAATTCTGTAACAGCAGGTATTGGCTTTGCTGCATTAACAAAAAAAGAGTATATTAAGAGCAAACATATATGACATAAACATTGAGAACAACAGAGGGAGGGAGAGATAAAATAATACAATAACTGATTTTTTGAAACAAAAACGAACCAAAGACAGTTTCAAATAGTTTTCAATTTTTTCGTTATTTTTATTTCCATCCATATTCCCTCCTCTTATCCTCACTTCTCTTGCATCTCTTCACTTAAAAATAAATAAAAGCCAACTAGCTAGTAGTTAGTGGTGCTTCTCTTTCCCATGTCATGAGACGTTCCAAGTTTGATCCCCCCACCCCACCACTGATAAATAAAGAAATAAAATAAATAGTGACAGTTTCTGTAAACAAATCAAGATAATTGCTTCAAACTTTAAAGGGGAAAAAACGAACATGCAGCAGCAATGCAACTTTTTACTTTTAAGGAATAAAATACTTGAAAACTCCTAAGAATGGACAAAGAATCTAGTGAAACGCCATGAAATAGAACTTACCAACACTCGACACAACAAAGCCTGACAATATATCCTCATCATCAATGCCCGATAATCTAACCCGTAGATTTTCACCTGGGCCCGCACGTTTCACCCTATCTTCATCAATGTATATAGCAACAACTTTCACTGGGACCTGCAAACAAACGTGTTAAATTGTATTTTTGGTATAAAATCCTTATAGAAAAAAGGTAAAATTATAAAGGAAGCAAATATTTGAAAGGAAGAGGAAGGAACCTTGTTTGGCATGATAAACAATGAATCCCCTTCACGCACGGACCCAGATTCCACTTTGCCCATAACAACTGTTCCCATGTCCTTGAATTTGTCTATGATAGGCATCCTACAGAAAGGAATTCAGGGGATTAAAGAAATTTAAAGAAAATATATTTAACAATAAATCACCAATTCCTGTTTAGTCTGGCAGTTTACTAAATCTCTAGGGAGCCAATGATCCCCACCCCATCAACCACCCTCCGTATATTTTCACTAGGTGCCAATGACCGAAATTCCATTTTCAAACAATATTTTGACATTGTAATTCAAGCCACTCCTCACACTACAAACTGACAAAATAATGCTTCCTAGCAGAGTGCACAATTAGTAACTGTTGGTACCTTTCAAGGGAAAAGAATATTTTGTAAATATTACAGAAAATGTCTCCTCAATAAGTGAAAAAAAATATAAACGTACATCAATCAGACTGCTTCAAAGAAAAAAGATAGATTCAATACAGATGCTTACTTAAGACGTTCAAAGGCAGGGTTCAAAAACAGACCACGTACCTGAATGGACCTTTAGGATCTCGTAGAGGAACTTCAATAGAATCAAGGGCTTCGAAAAGGCAGGGACCATCCCACCACGAACATACACTTTTATCCAATCTGGTTTTCATATTTGTTCCAATCAGGCCAGATATAGGTAGGAATTGCACATCTGCAGAGGCAAAGTGGAAACCAATGGCATCCTATGTCAATACACCATAATACAAAACAGTGCCTCAAAACTTCCATTATTATCAGTTCAGATAGAAAAGAAAATAAATCAAAATGAAAGAAATCCACTAACATAACATTTACTTCTGTGACAGAAAGGGTACAAACAAGAGAAACAAAAGCATAAAATCATGATTCAACTATACCCCTATTTTAATGTACTGACTTGAGCATACATATTTTCATTGAAATAAAAGGTTCCATTTTTATTTTCTCCAATCTCAGAGTTTGAGTAAGCTTTTGCAGGCCAAAGGAGTTGCCTATTCCTCAACTCTCCCTTAATTCTTCTCAAAATATCAAACAAAGCAAAACACGACTGTTAGACCATCTCCAAAGGAGATGTCAAATTATAAGAGTCAAATTACAAATGATGGCTGATGTGGCAATCTGAAGCCTTATGTCAAATTTTGTACTTCTCCAACCGAATTGTCAAATGTTATTTTATTATTTAAATGGAGTTTTAAATGGTTGTAATTATTATAAAAATGTTGAAACAAAATTTTTATTGGTAGCCGGTTTTTGTAGTAAATTCTATTTGTTCATTGAAATGTTGGTGGAATAAGGGACCCGCCATTAAAATTAATTAAAATTAAATTTGACATTTATGTCAAATTTGACTCCAAATCACAAAGCTTTCAAATCCAGTCAGCAAATAACTCGGTTGGAGAGATTTTTGATGTCAAATATGCACAGTGGCATTCCACCTAGGATTTTGACATCTCCCTAGGAGATACTCTTTAGTCCCTTTTTTCAATCCTTCTATCGAATGTAGTGTCATCATGGTTTGAGAATAGTAAAATGATTCTAACCTATTCCCCAAAGGTATAAATTACAACTTGAAA